ATATATATATATATATATATATATCAGAAACGCGTATATATAAAAAAAAACATTTATATACATATATATAAAGCATACGTCTCTATTTTTATTTATTTATTTAGCTAAAGATGCAAAACATTCAGATACTAATATAACAGTGTGGAGTTAGCGTCACTTAGGTATCAGTAAATATCGTTACTTAAAATATACGGACAAATCGATGAGACATTTAACTGCCGTTATTTATTGTTTTCATCGAAGAGTTTTTAGTAGAAACCGAAAGCATATCTATGTCTAACACGTTTTCATATTATTGAAACAAAGTTGAAAACAAATCAAAAAACGTTACTTCTATCAAAACATAGTAATGCCATACTGACGAGATTGGCATTAATATAAAGCAGGTCCAGTAGCTATATTCAGAGCTAGGGTCCTTACCTGTGAGTGCTCCAATCGTGATTAGGGTCTATTAATATTGTTGTTGTTACTACATATTACTATTACTTCCTCGAAAACAATTAGTTGACTGTCCTGAAGCTTTTATAACGAAGAGTCGAACCGCTAGCCACTGCTGTTTCTTTCCTTTACTACAATTCATTAATAACTATTAGATCGCCTGGGAAGTAATTTCGGAAGCTTTTTAGACACGTTTTTTTAGCTACTTTATTTGGGCCTTAGTACGTTTTCTCTCTGAACTACTCTGATTCGGTTGCGCTACATGAATAAAATGTTATTTCCGTTTACTTCTTAAAGAATTGTTTGTACGATGAGACTGTGTAATCGAAACACTGCCTATCTCGCTACTTCCTTACTGGGAAATATGTAGCTGTAACAATGAGGACTGTGTGTGAAAAGCTGAATAAGGATCAGCAGCACCTGACAGCGTTTCAGCGAAGGAACCCATAGCGCTTAAAAGCTGTATTATATGTAAATTTAAGCTCCAGATGGCTGCATCAAACGGATAACAATAAACTACAGACGACGTCCGTTGGGCCGAAAAACCTCACAAGCCTTATATAAATCTAGAAGCTAGTTGTGCTATTTTTGTGAAGATTCGCTTTGGATTGGAGAAATATTCTAAGGATTCAGGAGGTGCAAGAAACAGCGGTAAGTGATCTTGTTGTATGACAATAGTTGACCTCATAATGGGAGAAAAATTACTGGCTAGTGGTCTCGCAATTAAGTCAACCCGGTGGGGCCGAGTTCCTTTCATCGGCCTATCTCATAACGGTTTTAACTCGACAGACCTCTGAGTGGGAAGTTTTTTACGTCTGGCTTACAAAGCAGACCTTAGTAGATCGAATTATAACTGTGTAGCTTAATAAGGCTTCTACAAGTGAGCCTAGCAGACTTTGCAATCGATCATTTTTAAACTAGTGAAGCTAAAATAATGATTTTTTACTGCGTTAGTGTTCTCCTTAATTTTTCTATGCACGTGTCTTAGCGCTTTGGCAGATTTCAAATAGCCCATATGTGGTTTCTATACTTATGTATATATACGGCAAATTCGCACGAGCTGGAGAAACTATAGTAATGACATTTTGAGTTCAATTAAAAGTAACACTAATTTGGACACCGTAGAATAAACAAGAATGCGTCTATTTATATATGTCGGGACAGACGCGCAGGGCACAGTTTAGCCTCACCGCTAATTACTTTTCCTTTTACAAATGTGAAGTATATATATGTGTATATAATTAAAAAAAAAACTGAAAGAAAAAGCTAGAAAATATCTTAGTTACTCTTTTATTACCAGTAATTCGTGTGCAGTTAAGTACGTACGCGTGCTTTTTCTATCACCGTCGATGTTGCTAGCAAGTTGTTATGTCGTTTTAAATATATCTGCATAATATGTAAATTTAGAAGCTGCGTAAAAAAGCTCCACCAAGATCGCAGTTAGTCGAAATGATCGTTTTACGCGATGTAAGGGCCTGTGAAATATTAGAAACCTCATAAGCCTAGCTCTGTTGAGATGTTCATCTCAACAGAGCTAGGCTTATGAGGTTCAATTTCAACAAAATGTTCATTGACATAACTTCGTATTTTGTTATATATTTGTTGACTTTTGAGTCAGCGTGTGCAATACGAACAAATTATGTAACAGGTTCTATATCTCTCAGTTGATTTCCATATTCAAAAGTTTGTCGGCTTGATACGTAACGGCCACTAATAATTGAAGTATAACGGCAGAAAAATGTAGTTTCGAGAACGCGGTGTTCGAACTGAAAGTCGAGTTACCCCGGCAGTTCGTGCTCAAAAGATCTCGAACAAAAATATCAATATTCTATCAAATTGCATACGATGCTTCCTAGCCTAGCTTTCAACGGCTCACGCGTAGCTCGCGCATGTAGGCACTTATACAGTCAAATATGCCGAAAGAATTACATTTGTTTTTTGAAATTTGAATTTCGAAACGCGACCTTTGGCGTTGTGCGACGGCGAATGAACAACAGAACGTCTAGCTGATAAGGGCGGCTCGGAGGCTATATGCCTTTTTTCTCCTTAGGGCTTACTTCCTTTCGTGGAGTAACTCAACTATGTTAAGTAATATACACATCCGAGATGCTCTATCATGCATTGCTATGGGTTCGACCGCTACTATCCCTACAAAGGGTTCTGGCCGATAACGGAGAGTTACTGTGATAGGTTCCTGGCAAGTCGTCCGGCAAATAACATCCTTCAAGGTATATCTGAGGGCGGAATCCCGTTGGGACCTTTCTGTGAAACACTTCTCGGGTACCACACTTGGTGAGTTCTACGCCATGCTACTATTACCCCGGTGAAGACATGGCCTGGCAGTGAAATGGTCCTTCTGTATGCCTCTTGTATTGAGGTTTTCCTTCTTAATATCACATAGAACTGCATTTATGCTATATAGCAAACTCACATAAACTGAAATAATGACATGCTGATTTTTTCATTACAACTACTGACTTGTACACAACAGAAAACATTGATTGTATTAAGTGTGAAGACCGATGCGCCGATTTGTTTTCCCCCTACAAAAGCCAAGCTATTTAACTCTAAACAAGTGGCTAATAACCCCCAAAAGTGAAGACCCCACTGGCTTTGTTGTTAAAACTAGTACGCTTTCCTCCATTACTCGACTGTGTGAAAAATATGATATATTAGGCGTTGCTACGAAATGTGATCGTGAAAGCCATTTGCTGCTTTGCTGCTAAAATCTGAGTAGATATCTCTGGCCAATCGTTTTCCAGCTGAAGTTAAATATTGCTTTAAAGTTATTTTCTACTTATTTTGTCAGCCTACACGGTGCAAGTTATCAATTGGTGCCAAATAGGCGGGTCTTGGAAAATACTGAGCTTGTTGTGACAATATCGTCTTTGTCTTCCTTTCATTATTAAAGTGTATGAGAACAGGGACTGTCACGATCGTATAACGGCTGCTTTCTCAATCAGCTTTATAAACCATAGAAACAGCTAGAGAATTTTAACACAATATCGCACGCTAGACCTTAGAATTACACCGCTAACTAAGTGACTGAAGTTCCTTGCATTGCAGAGCACATTTCATGTTTAACGGCCATGAACGACCGTTTCATAGCAAGCATCATTTTTTTCACTGCGTAAGATTCCAATGCTAATTACCGAAAATAGGTCTACGTAAAATAGGACCTTGCACCAAATCACAGCCTTACCTAGGCAAATGCATCTTTCCATACGAAAGATATTATTTAAGTTTGTTGACACGGATATAGTCTTCTAATCAGAAAGAGTAGAAGTCCAACGTCGCAGCCTACGAATAGTTGACTTTCTCCGACTGTCGGCTAGTAGCAGTTTGATCAAACTCGAAGACTGCTGAAGATATCAGTGTCGCTGTTGATCTTGTAAATATCCTCGGGATACATTGGTTCGCAAGAGCCGCGATAGTGTCGCGTCGCTGCTGCCTCGTCTATTCTTTCGAGCTCTGAAATACTGCTTATTAAAGTCGTAAGTTTGGGTTGTGAAGACTTTTGTTTTGTTTCGATGAATTTCGAGGGTGCATAGGCGGGACAGGGGTAGAAAAGTGAGAGGGGACACTTGAAGAAGGGCAGCAACGGGCTCGAAGACTGAGTCGTGATTGTTTTTTTTCAAAGATGTATGTCTTTATACTTGTTATCACGTATCAGCAGAGATGCTAGGCTGAATAAGTCAGGAATCGTATAGGAACGGTTGACATAAAACTAAAAATTGGGAAATAGGCAGACGCGAAGATGCCAATTTGCTTCAATGGCGTTTTAGCGGATTTCTTTGTTTTGCAGCAACTATCCTTTCCTGTATAGGCTTTAAAAATATAGAATTCGAGTTGAATTTATACAGGAACTGGTCAAGCGCGGGACATAGATAGTAGTGACAACAAAGTTAATGAGAAAATCATCTTTATATACATTAGTGTATATGGTTATCATTGGAGATTTCAAGATGGCTGCCTACTATTAGTCTTTTATTCAGTGCAAAAACTCTTTTACATATGTATCCCATTGTGTAGCGTCATATTTCTGCTAGTATGGAATCCCTTCTGCAGCATCAACTAAAGCTGCATAGTTCTTGATAATACTTGCTACTTGGCTCTGAACGGCTTTTTGACTGTTTTATTTCAGGATGTATTCGTTGCTGATGCAATCTTTGATTCGCTTGTTTACAGATACTTTGGTGGACAATTGTTATGTTGAGCTTGTGTAGATTATCGGTTGTCAATTTTCAAAGATATCCTCCACTGTCGGCCGTAGATAAGATCGCAACGGTATTGCGTCACAATATCCATTCCTTTCGTACAAGCCATTACTGTCCGGCTTTTTGTTTTCTTGTGCTTTACAATTTGCTTTACAAAAGTCTGAACAATTCGATTAGAAAAGTGTTGCCAGCTACAGTACACACAAATTTCGAAGTCCAAACATTTCATAGGTTTTTGTGAGGAAATACACCTGAAAGTCGTTTGATTCAGTTAATAGTCAATTCATCAGTAATATTTCACTAACGTCAATTGGGCCGCTCTTCCTATCACCCATTTTGTTGCAGGACTTGGCAATCTTCCTGGTGGGATCGACGGACCCGGAACGAGCGGACACTCTGTGGGATAGCTTCTGTTGCCGTGGCGATGTTTCTGGCTACAGCGATTGCCTTAGCCGTTGTAGGGCATCAGTACCAAAACATACTCGGTGAGTAGTAATGATAAGACAAGCGTCTGCAATGCGTGGAAGATGCTTTACAGTCTATTAAACATGGAGAACAATGATTCGCTACTTTTGGCAAGGGTGTACAGCGGAGAAAAGTCTAAAAGGTAATATAGGCTATAAGCAACTTGTTATATTGATGAGCATGAGTCGATGTGTTAATCAGCCCTGGTCCAAAGCGCATCAGCGGGTCATTGGGTAACTGTACAAAATACAATTTCGGGCTATATTTGCAATTATGACAAAAGCCACGTTTGTCACACAGATGTTGAATGCTCCGCATATATTTCATGAACGGCTATTTTTCGTAATAAAGAAAACTCACCGTAGTGTAAATCTAGTAATGTGTCTCTCATCTATATGTTTTGAATAATGTTCGTTGATGATTTCGTTCACCGTTCGATGTCCTGAAGAAAAAAATACGATCTTTGTCGTTTTAGTCTACGCTATAGTCCGAAGCGAGGTGACGTACGCTCAATCGTCTAGTGGCACAAGTTATTCTCTTATAGTAAAACAAAATCCGGGACGTACGTAAGCAATTCAATGACGTATTTTTTTTCTATGTCATGGATAATGTTCCATTACGGAAACGCGTTTTAGTTCCATCTTCATTTTGGCTTCAAAGGGAATATTCAGTGCCAATCCCGTTGGGTTTGTGTTCACACAGTTGAATGTACGATGATACTGGATTACGGTAATAGTTTATTAATGAGAGTACCGCAATGAAAAGGTCTTTGATAATCAAATACATGCATGCGCATAAATATCCGAATGAATAATTCTGATGTGTGGATAAATCAACGTTGCAACAGCTGTAATGTCGTTTGTGTAGTACGAGAAGACCTGGTGAAGAATCTGAAATCACATAGATTCAAAGTTGTATGTAGATGCACTTCGTTTTGTGCTAAGGGCTGGCCGTCTGAAGCAACACTGCGGAGATACCGGATGCGAAATCTGAAACGTAAATATGGATCCTTTCTATTTTTAGAAAGTTTGAAGGGCTGAACCTCAACAGACCGCAAAACATCAAAGGGAACAATGTAACGGTTTCGGTTTTCTACATTAATTGATTGAATGCACAATTTTCGCTGCTGCTCCAAAGTAACAGTAGAATAAGTTTGATTATAGCGTTTTAAGGAGAACCATGCAGCTAAGTAAAAATTACATCTGTCTACACAAACAGGCGCACATAGACACCGTACAATGCTTTACACATTTCACACATTGATACCATTGCGTTTGCTGGCAAGTTTTGTCGTTCACCCTGCTGACTACATAGCTCTTGACAATCTGTGCTTTCAACCATTGTCAGTAAGTTAACCCGGTGGATTTACCCGTAACATGAATCTACCCATAACTGCTAATACTAAATGATAACTTGTCTCGCTCCTTTGCTAGTTATTTTATGGAAAATAAGCTACTATACAGAAATAATAGGATTCCGCTGAACTACTAATACACCAACATGTTTGTTCTGGGCGGGCTTACATTGCATCTGTTCTATTTACATAATTTCAATGTTATGACTAACGGTTGGCTGCTAGAGCTAAGACAGGATAACGCCGCAGAACGACAGACTCCGAAAATTTATTGATCAGCAGTAGCAACCCCTGTTTCGATGGTGTCAGGATACGGCAGGACATAGTATAGTACAGAGTATCACAACATATGTAGGTATTACTCTAGGCCACTGCAAACTTAGGATAATACACTTTACGATGTTTGGCGAACAAGTATTGACCGTTTTTTTTTTTTCTAGCCGCATAACATATCAGAGTCGCGTCATATGAAAGTTGGCAGTAATAGATGTGCCAAAGCTATTGGAATGTTTTTAAGCATACTTCAGATAGAGCACCCTGTCAAAGAAGTAAAATTTCTGCAAAAGGTCGCTATATTTTATAGTTTTGATTCAATAGAGGCACAGATACGAGAAAAAAAAAAGTGCTATTTATGGTCAAGATGCGTTATCAAAGAGACAGGTCTAAAGATGGTTCCGAAAATTTCAATGGGAAAGAGTACCTCGTGGTGGTCGCCCAACTATCAAAAAAAAAAAGTTGATGTTAAAATAGAGCAGATCTGATACGTAATTAGCCACGACAACGGTAAGGAGTAAAGCCTATACCATCAAATAATTTGAAACTACTTAAGAAGAGGTAGGCACAAAAAGATGCTTTGTGCCACGCGGATTGACCGGAACTCATTTATTCACTCGATCGTATTTCGATCTGCAAGACTCTACAAGAAAGCAACGAAAGCGGCTGAGAGAATGATGAAAAACAGACAACACATAATAATGTACAATTGCAAAGATGTTCTCTACATTCTGTAGCAAAACCCAAATTAACGCCAAAGAAAGTGATGCTATGCGTTTGATGAAACTGAAAAAGGATCGTGCACCACGAATTTTTGTATTTTACCATTGATTCGGATCTCCATTTGCCGATATATCATACGAAAACCTATCGAAAAGAATCGGCCGAAACGGGTCTTCCACGAGGATGGCGATGACCTCATACACTGATAAGAAAATTGAATGCATCTGCACTATAACCCTCTATAAGCCTCTGTAAAAGCTTCACTGAATGTTAATTTAGTTCTAATGGAGAAGTGCAAAACTCACTTGTGACAATTTTCCGCCAAGAAACAGCAGAAGTTCTACGGTTAATTACGCTTTCCGGTAGATTATGACGTTACCAGAAGAATGGTAAAAATTCAGCGATCAAAATGGCGCATACTTAGTTAAAATATTAAATATAAGCTATATTATATAATTTTGGTTTGAAAACAAACAATACTTTTTCGGCACTCCAGTGCTAAGGGGACGCTACAGCTGATACTATTAGCATATACTAATGCATTATTATCATTATGATGATCTCTCTAATGTTCAATACAAAGCGAACGAGTATGTAATAATTGAAAGCCATGAACATTAAACGGACCTGAAATTTAAGGTCAACACTTAATATATCGGACTATCTATTTCGGAAGCTGGTTTACCATTGAATGGGCGTACCGTTGTATGGAGACATCGGGTGCGGGGTTAACTAGCTAATGTAGGCGGTCGTAGAGGGCACTGCTGGACCCGGGTTATCAATTAGAGGTCAGTTACAGAATAAGAGTCAGATAGCTTGTCGCACTCACCGTAAAAAGCCCTCTGGCTTATTCTGTGGCACACGAATGGCGCTTTAGTGAAAAATCGTAGTCTGTACAGAGGATGGATGGAGCGAGTTAAGCTTTTTCGACGTTTTATTAGTTCACTACAATTCTGCAGTAATCATCGATACAAATAAGCCATATCGTACATGCGTAAAGATAAAAGCAGAGCGCACTGTTTTCAGATTTAGCACACTGTAGTTTTTCTTACAACGTTTTGACGTAATAACAACGGCAATACGAAATGACAGAACGATTTTGTTCAGATAAGCCCGCCAATTTAGGCGTCATTAAACACATCTTTTTGACGTCGAATAAAAATGCAAAACATCCTAAGCTTTGGTTTATTGCCAGATACAAAACGTGTCTACATTAACTGCAAGTGTAGCATTTGGGCCGAAATAGATTTGTCAATATTCGCTATTTGCGAAAAGTATTGAAAGTCAATAAAACTAGTTACTACAGTATCAAATGATTCATGAAATTCAGCTACTGACGCTTGATAAACAAGCTGATAATCTGGTGTTTACGCGTGGCGCTGCTGTCTCTCTAACTTCCGAGAGCACTAATCCTTATGTAGATTGCAGACAATTACCAATGCATCTCTTTGTGATTTTGAAGGTTTCAAGGCTAAAATTGTCACAGCTATAAACCATACATATTCCAAATTCACGAACGCTATATTGGCACATCACACTCACAGGAGGGATCATTCACCAGCAGATATTTTCCCAGTAATTTTATTGTAGTTGCAACCCGAGAGTAAAAAATATCGTATTTTATACACAATTTCTAGGATGTATTATGGGTACCTGGGCTAGTGCACCTGGAAGACTGAGTAAAAGTGGGCCAAATGGCAACTCGGTTTAACACACAAATCTAGGTTCACCAGCGGATCTGTGTGTTCGACCTGCGACCAAACTGCCCCAGCGTAACACACTGTCATTCTTCTTGATTTTAGCCCTACTAGTCTCCGTTAGCGATGCCAGTTCAAGTGCATTCTCAAGCATCACCTTAGTCTAAAAACCCTGCCTCAAAAAATATTTGTCGAGTTCAAATTACGTGGAGTTTGAAACCCTGTGTCAAAGTTCGCCTGCTTTTTCTTTTGGCAGGACCCTTACGAGCGTCTGCTTTCGTACATACTCTGAAGAAGCTTCACTTGATAACGTACTTTGTCATATCAAAACTCTTCTAGCTCTCTGACAGCTTGTTCATTTTGCAATATCGGGCTATTGACCTATAAGGCCCGTATATTTGCGCAGAAGGGCAGTCTTTCGGTTCTCTGGTTCCTTGCTGTATTCTGTCGCATGTATGAAGTTTCTGCTTTCCTTCGGTGCGTCGTGCGTCACTGGCGTACGACCTGTTGCCTACAACTACGCGTACAACTACGTTAGAATACATTTTATCGACCACGATCCATTAGTTTAGTTCTGCACTCAGTTTACTCTCAATCGGAAGACGCCCATAGAAACTTGCGTGTGGTGTAACTCATCAGCAGAGAGTAAGGTTCATATATGTTGACAACTACCACGTCAGTTGCTACCCTAGGGTGTAATTTACCGGGCGATATTATAACCCTTAATGCCGAAGCTGCGCACGAAACAGATTGGAGTGAGGACAGCATAAAGGTTTACCATCTAATAATTATAATCCAATGAGCTCGGCAGTGTCGAGTACCTTGAAATCCTGATAAGGGCTACAACTCAGTACCGTGTTTAGTTGTTGTTCAAATAACATCATTAAGATGACTTAGTGCCTCGTTGGCGTTATCGCTATTCGAATTAGAATAGTCATAGACTTCTTTGGCTATAATTTCTACCAAGGTATGTATGTTTAAGGCGAGCACCGTTAAGTGTCTCGAAAAATAACTCGTTATACCGATATAATCTGTTATCGCACGTATAGTTTCACAGAAGTGAAATTATTTTCTGTGATGTCCATGGTAATACCATAATATCTTGCCAATATGGTTTCTGGACGAGAAGTATTGTTCGCACCTCTCCGTTAAAACGAACACCATTGCAGAGACTAAAACAGATGATAAACTAGTTGTACGAAGTCTGGCTATACGGCAGGTGTATCAGCATTTTGTAAAATTAAAATGAAAGGGTCTTACTTTTTGTTCGGGTGGTAACTAAAGTTGTATCTGGTCTGCATTGAAACAATAGAATACGACGATTTTTTTCGTCGGTCGGTTACGCAGTGGCTTGTTGTAATTTTGCTAGTTATTGATAGAGAGGGTTCGATGCATTGTTTTGCCAGACGGAAACAGCATGCCCTATTTCCACACATAGGTCTAGCTTATTTGAGGTCGGTCTGACGTGTGCCATAGATCGTATACGATGTTTATTTGCATATCATAGTCGCCTGTGATCTACTTTTCATTACCCAGCTTTCAACCGCTTTTTGAAGCCATTCTCGTTGCACTTCTGTAGAGCTTCGCAGAAGGAAAAATCGATGCAGGAAATTTTTTAGAGTCATTTCACACTTTTTCTTCAAGTGCTTAGAGACGATTTGGGCGTTTAGTTCCATGCGATGTCTAGGCCTCCCACGTGATGTTCGACTTCAGCAATAACTGCATTAACTAATACAGAGAATGTCTTTCACATCAACCTTTCCAAAACAACCGTCTCTAAGCCTTCCTTCAATGATACATCCTGGCTATAAACAGCAGAATTTTTTCACGAACCTGGGCAACATTTGTACCTTTATCGAAATGCTATTATAAAGTACGACGAATTTTCACAGAAACCTCACTTATCTTCTATCTGAAATCTGAGTAAAATTATTTCAGCACTGTTAGCACATCTACGACTGGTAAAGGTCAGCCTGCCAATGATCGCAATCGAGTACGCAACCATAGAAGCAAAATTTACCCTTCCTGCAAAAATGCATATTACTTGATCTGGCTCTGATAATCGTACACTCTACGATAGTTTTTCAGAGGATTTGTTCTATATTATATTATTTTAGCAATAATACATCACTTCATACGGGTTATGTTACTTAAATTGTGATTTGAAGGAACAGTGATAAAGTAAACGTGGACCATGCGACGTTGCACGTACACGTAACTTCATCTGTACGAGATATTTCCGTTTTTTCAAGTACTCTAGTCCTTAGACTTGATCTCTTGCTTGAGTCAGAAAGAGTTTTCGCTTAGAAAACCTGTATACATGAACATATTTTAATTAAATAATTATATATGTTTAATAAAAACAAATGTTATTTTCAATATAGAATGAGGTTCTTCACAAAACAAGCGGCCGTGCGACGAAGGTTGGCAGTGATCAATAAAATGATCCAGCTAAAAAAATTAGTATGCGATAGCAAAAAGAGATAATGTCATTCCAAACAAAATGTAAAACCAAAGAAGTGTGGATGTACGACTCGAGTTTACACCTTTCCTGCCTAGATGTTTTATATATATTTCGTATTTAAGAGAAAACAGGTCAATACTTTTAGCTTATGTTTTCTTTTTCAGATTTATATGTCAAGGATCTCGGCGGATTCTTGTAAATTAGCTCTAATGTTAAGCTCAACTTGGTTCTAGTATGCATCGTAGGGCCCGATCACAGTGGGTGCATGCTGAAAGGATTTAGTAGTGATAAAGAAAAAAAAGTACTCGATTATGCGTGAGTCGGTATCATAGTGGTTTTCGCCACTGACAAATCATGATGTTACGAAGAAATCTTTGACAAGATTTTGAAAAAGATTGATAATATCTGTCAATCGTAGGTATACGTTTGGTCTCTAAGCCAGGCAAAAGAAGGGTTTCTTCTCTAGTCGTAAACCGAAGCCAAGAGTCGTAAACCGAAGCCAAGAAAGACCCTCAATCGCTGCAGAATGTTTTGGGCAACTGGCAACTACTCGTTATTTCATTTAATCTTGTATTCGACTGAAGTCAATCATTTCGCACTGGGTTATTTTTCTAGTACGCAACACCGATCGAGGGGGTTTCTGACTCCATGACCTATTTATCGCCTATTTAGTTATCATTGCATTACTCACTCCAAATTACCTTTTAATTACGATCTTCGTCTTGCCAGAGTGTAACAGAAATTTAAGCAATATTGATATTTTGTTGTTATTTGTTGTGTTATTTGATTGCTTACTGAACAAACTACTGTTACTAATTATAAGGTAATTTATTATATTCACCTTAGTAAGTCTACAATTTACACACAAATCAGGCACAAATGTCCATCTGTTCTGAAGTTTCTACAGACGACACACATGAATCGAACCTAAATCGCCAGTAGGTTCAAAACCGGGAGTTGCCACGCCCTGAACAGGCGTCTGAAGCAATACTTAAATAGGGCAATGCTGGACGTAAAATTTATGACCCTATCTTGGCTAGTGCAATGTCCCTGTGCTGCCTCTGAATATGCGACGAATAACGTCATAAAGCTACAGTGACAGATCGTAACGTTCCATCCCGATACCATAAGTTACAGGAAGAGGCGTGCTGGCTTGGAAAAAAAGGAGGTGATTCGTATTCTGTTCTATTGATAGAAATATCCGCGCTCGTCGAATAGACTATGGACAGAAATCAGGCCACGAGATCAATCAAACTGTGAAAGTCACTCGAGACTAGCACGTTGCGAAACATGGTACCCCTTACAGCGGAATGCATGTTGCATCCGAAATTAGCATATCGTTATGATGGTGTCGTTTTTTTTCCGTATTTTGTAGTGTTAACCGATAGGGAGTCATCAAGTGAACCGAAAACGATCAGCATCAGAGTGCGTTAACCTCTTCGGAGGTGTATCTGCATTCGGTGAGGCAACGGATAAAATATGGAATATGTTTCTCGTTTGAGCGGCATATCATTAACATCCTGTTTCCAGGGGGTATCTAATTTAATATCATGGATATTTCTCGTTTTAAAATTTTTACCGCGCGGAAAGCAAGTATTCGTATAGAATTTCGCTAACTTCGTATAACTTACAAGCAAAAAGGTTCTGGTTGGGTAATATTCGAACGAAAATATAGATCGAGTTATCATCGTAGGCGTAAACGAGGTTATGTAGTGAGGAATTCTAAGTTGATTTAGAATCGAACGTACAAATGAATCAAATTGTACCTCTAGAAATGCAACGTTTCAAGTGAGGCATACATTTACATTTGTTTTTTGGCATATATACATGTTTGACTAGCGCACTTATACCACCATCAATTTTTACGTGACACGCTACCAATAACTAGTCTTAAACTACCGTGTTTCTTACTTGTTTTTCTGGCTTTTCCAGCTCAACGAGGCGTAGCTGTGCCCGGTGCCATTGGACACCTGGTGGCCCCGCTGTCGAGATCACCCAGCGCAGCGGGTTCAGTAAACAGCGCGTTAGTGCGAGCTGACCCTCCGAAGGCCGCTATGTCCAACTACGAAAATCTCTGTCTTACCCAAGGTTGCGTAAAGGCTGCAGCACAGATTATTGAAAATATGGACCCAACCACAAATCCGTGTTCCGATTTCTATCAGTTCGCCTGTGGCCAATGGATCCAGGTTCGTGCCGGATAAACACAATGATAATTTGCACCCTTTCTTTATGGATAGTTGAGATATAAGCGTTGACCAGACCAATCAAACTAAAAGGTTTCTCTGATTTAGAGGGCAACACTTTGATAGAAGAGCGTGATATAAGTTAGAACTCGAGCAAAAGTAACAATGCTTTGTATTTATATAAATAAAGTTTATCTGGTAATTACAGTGTTGACATAAAGCAATCAATTTCCAAATGGCGCATGTTTTGCTGCGAATATCCCTGTTATTTCGGGACATATTGAAAAGCGAGAAATATTGAAATCAATTTAAGTATTTCGCCATCAGCTTACGCTAGCTTTGCGCTATATTTGAATTGCATACGAGACAAAAAATTACGAAGCCTTAAACCCTCGAACACATCTAAATACAAAAGTAACTCGACTTCGATAAGAACAAATGCTTCTTCATGAGTAATTACGTGTCCGCCTCATAAAGATAATATCTAGCAAGCACAAGGTGGTCGGTTCTGACTAGCAAATTTTCTTGAAATGTTATGAAAACTTACGACTTTTCTGCATAAATCTCTACATTGATTATTGCGAAGTGGGTCACTAAGCGCTCGGGTTATGACAATACGGCATCGCTCTCAGACAAAGCTGCTGATAAATTAGAGAGGCGTCGTCGGTTATCCATTTTTATCTAAATTTAAGCTGATACGCGCAAATATTGCCCCTTTTTTTTCCAATGCATTGCCCATACGCGTATTGCTTTGCCTAAATTACAAAGTAATGTAGCTTTCACTATCGTTGCATTAATAGAAACAACCATTGCATGAATTCCGACACTGCCTATGGGGATACGTCACATATGTGCTATAGCGTCGTAGTAGAGAAACCATGAACTTTTGTTGCCCGACCTTTTTAGTTGTTGTTGTTGTTGTTGTTACTATTTTTACTACCCAATAACTATAAGCACAGCTTCTAGAAGTATACTACAACATTTCCAAGCTGTCCCAGTATAGATTTTATTGACGATTATGTACTTGTTCTGGTCCTTCTAGCGTCTAACCGCTGCACTCGCTTCTATCATGCGCTGTTGGTGCGATCAATAATGTATAATATATTCAGACCGTTGCGAAGCAATCCGTTATGTGCAGAGGCGTCGGGTTCGTGCAAAACATAACAGTATCATTGGCAACTATTTTTTAGCAACTATTCGCGCAGCAACAACGGCCGCAGTCTGATCGCCGTGACCGTTACCACCGACTGTGTACGCGGCTAGCTTTTTTTGTAAATTGGCCGACCTATTATGGTGGGCAGGGACGAAGGCGAATAACGAAAACTGAAAGCTAAACCCGCCAAAAATAGCGTTTCAGACGATTCGATGATATCTCTATCTAAAAAGCGTCGGACACTAAACAGCAGTCTGCGATTGTGTTGTTGTGGCTATCACTTAAATTGCTTGACAGACGATATTTGGCCATTGTTTATACAAACGAAACGAAGCGGAATTATAGTAATCTAACTAAATAGAAGAAAAAATCATTCCATATAGGTCTGGGGGATAATAGACTAGGTTGTCGTATTTTGTCTGAAGGAAAGCGTCTCGTAGTAGGAGACGCTGATCGGGCGATCCCGCTCGTATATCTGCTGGAGTGCTGGCTTGTATTAACGATAGCGTGTGCATGCAATCATTAAAGTAGCACGCAAACAAAAGTAGTTCTTAGCTAAATAAACGGCCCTTTACTCTCGTACGTATTAGGGTTTTGACAAAACATAGTGTTCGACATGTTGAAACTGCTGGAATTTCAATAATTTACTATGAGTGTTATTGTTGTTCGACTCGCTATAGATAAAGTAGGCGTGCTGTGTTCAGCGAAACGGTGATTTTACCATGATTACTACACTGTTCCTCCATTTCAGAGGCAATCGATCCCTGACGACAAGTCATCCATAACCCAGTTCTCGATTATCCAGGACGAATTGGACGCAAAACTGCGTGTCATCGTTGAAAAACCTGTCAACCCGAAGAAAGACCAACCTCACGTCGTAAACCTTAAGAACCTCTATCAGAGCTGCGTGAACACCAGTTAGTACAGATATTATCTCCGAAACATTTTCTGCTTGGAGTCCAATAGTGACATGGGAATCATGCGCACTCGGCGCTCGCTAATGTTTCAATGTGTATTACCTATGCAGGCACTCTAGACAGGCTTGGAGAAGAACCATTGCTGAAGGTTCTTCGAGAGCTGGGTGGTTGGCCCGTCGTAGAGGGTGCGAACTGGAAAGGCAACTCATCCTTCAATTGGCTGCAGACAATTATCGCGTTTCGTAAACTCGGCTACTCCCACGACATTATTTTCGATCTAAGTGTCATCCCTGACTTCCGCAATAACACAAAACACCTCATCGACCTCGACCAGGCAACCCTCGGGCTGCCTGACCGTACATACCTCCTTAAGGGTGCGTATGCAAATTTCAGTTCAATTTGGGCCAAGCATTCATGCGTGCGCGTTTGACTCGCGTCTTACCGCGAATCTTTGCATAGCCGTTTTAAAAAAGAACTTCAAGCTGCCAACTTTAGCAGGAATGAAAAGCAGGAAAGTAGAAAGCGGCCCATAATTACTGCTCGGTTATCGATGCCTGCAGATGCGCCTAATGAATTTACTGTGAACAGTATTGAGAAACATGTGGCCAAACAAATACAGTTTGAAACTATTTTAGATTTGAATTGATGGTAGGCTTTCGAACAAGCTTGAAACGATTTCAAGCAATTCCGACAACGTCTGCCAGATGTTTCGTCCTTTTCACATGTGCCTTATCTTTCAGGAATGTCGGATTCTGTTGTGAAGGCTTACTTCAAGCTCATGACAGAAGCAGCCTCACTCCTTGGGGCCAAGAATACAGACCAAACTAGAAAGGAGCTCGAGGATGCACTTCATTTCGAAACAATGCTCGCTAATGTAAGTCCCCTAATGTAAGTTTTGCAAAGTGTAACTGGTCAATTGGTGTCATTGATGTCTCTGTACAACCAGTAACTTCATATTTAGAGCGATGTTTGCTACAGGGACCTGCTCTCGTCAGTAAAGTTACTGATTAAATCGATACATGCAACACGTCATTAGTAGAAAACGAAAATTATAATTTTACCTGCAATTTACGAGCTTGTGTCCATCGCGTGCCTAGATTTTTAGGTTTTACCTAACTTGTTTTTTTCCGAGTAGAGCTGCGCTGATAATTTCATTTTGCGGATGCATGAGTTGCTTTATTGACTGAGCCAGTCGACAACAGTGATTGCCTTATAATATCGTCTTAATTACTGCCTGATAATTTCTTCTTATTCATTGCTCAAAAATTTCATTTATATTTGAAATCAGAGCAGTCGACCTTTTTTGCTCCCTACTATGTTGTATAATATATTGTACTAACTTGAAGATTAAGGTCACGTCGGTATCCGGTCCACAGTCTTCTAAATCTTCAAATTTAAACGACACACAGTAAAATGTCAAATTTAAACTATGGACGGGATGGATTCAGGTGGCAAATCATTTTAGGACTACGTAGACTGTTTCATTACGAAGGGTTCACGCTTTGCCCTAGCAACCGTAATAATCGCGTACATCATCGTCCGCTAATCCCGTTTAGCTAAAAGCGTCATGCCCTCATAGTGCTAGTTAGATTATATTCTAGCTATTCTTTGTTTGATATTGTGTGCAGAGTGTTCGTGCAAATTTCTATGGCTACTCAATGCACGCTAGCCTATGCTGCTAGCGCTATCAAGCTTCGAATTAAATATGGCACGATTATGTCGATTTAGTATTATTATACGTTCATGTTTCTATAGTGAAAAGGTACACCCATCCACGAGATATGCGTTCAACCGTATAAGTGGTTCTATGATGTTCCAGTACGATGGAATCGTATTAGCTAGGACGTCTAGGAGCAGAACCGACTCCGCACTTAAGAATAAATTGTTTACAGCCTAAATACGATGACGTAGCTAGGTTTAAACGATTAGATTAGGATTAAATGGTTAGCAGGTTTTCGAGTAAATTCAAAGCTGAGAATGAAGATCTCATGTATTCATCGTCGTAAAATAGATTTGACAGCTGAGTACATACCGCATATGTGCCTTGAAGAAACCTTATTTGCAGGCGGCCAAAATACCTCCCATTCATTCGTGTGAAGTCAACTCGGTCAGTAGCCATTGTAACATTGCGCTGACTTGATTACGCCTTTTTAGTTTGCTTGCCGTGCTCTCAAGAGCTCCCGTGCAAAACATACTAGTCGTATGGGCAGAAAAAACTGCTATCTATCTAATATCAAAGATCAACAACAATGTATTTCCCTCTTACTGAGGAAGGAGTATATACAGGTCAGTATCCACGAAGAACTCGGTCGAGTCGAAATTTCGAGGTTGACGCATCGTTTAATAGCTAAGTAATCAGGTTGTTTGTTACGAATACAAACCGGACAACACCATCGGATTTTTCACTACGTTAGAAAACATTTTGTAGGTGAACAGGTTCATATAGACAGCGTTTGGGCAATTTCTGAGCAATTTTCTTCACAATGTGCTATAATGCAGAGCACCACAGAATCACAGAAAACGTATCGGAAAGCCGTCGAAAATAGCATTACTAGACACACTTGTATATCGCTTAGTTATGAACTAGTATCTTGTATTGTACATGTAATGTACTGCTTCGGATCAAATTCAATCAAATTATAATATCCTAATGACCTGTTTTAATTTAAAGCAGCACTGGGAGTAACAATGAAATTTTAAAAAAATATATGCGCTTTTTTAAAGGGTTGTAAACAAAAAGGGTTCAGAGATGCCTTTGACTAGAGTTATGCGTATAAATAGTTGTCAAGCCTAATCATGTTCACCGATGTGTACACGCCGTTAACTTTCAAGTTGAGCGTCTAACTTCTATTTGTATATGTCTATGTGTCTACTTGCAGTATTCGCTTCCCCGGGAGGAACGCCGTAATATCTCCGCTCTCTACAACAAAATGCCCCTTTCTGAACTCAAGAAGTTTTCGCCAACTATCAACTGGGACCTGTTCGTTAATTACCATTCGTTTACTATTCTCGCCATGCACTAACACATCATAAAAGGGCACTAAAATCATGATTCTTTCTTTGCTAGTTTTTGACAAGTCAGCAAAATTGTATCTAATAAGGATCAAGCAGGCTTAAAAAGGTTGATATACCATATTATGGACACACTGTATACCGTAGCGTCGTATCTGTCAAGACGGTACACCTGACAGGCGGTTCCGTTTATTTGTCTACGGTATGCTACCATAATTAGTTGCGATTGAGAGCCTCAAATAAAAAAAAGTTATCTCTGCTAAAAAGCCGAGTACTTCATGCATAAAACCGAAATGGCGTTTGGTCCTCTCCACAAAAGGTTTCACACTACTATTTGTCGACCTTATGCTGTCGCGTAATCGTTTTAGCAACTAACGTTTGTACATACATAATGGTGTTGCTGTCCATCGATGACCAGGTACTTTAATTCACTGCTCGTGGATCACATCGACGACGACGAAATGATCAACGTGGGTGTACCGAACTTTATCGCTCAGGTGGCCAAGCTGCTCCAGACCGTGGACAAACGGACCCTCGCCAACTACATGGTATGACGCGGATACTAAAACGCGGGCGGCGGTGGCCTTCCGAGATTCGAGGTACATTCGAACGATACGGATACCCCTTGGCAACGATTGTCTCTTTTCAACTGCTAAATCGTAATGTTAATGAGAGTCGTACGCGGTGCATCACGTAGCCTTTACTTATGCTTTAAAGACAAATGTCATGACAGCCCACTGTCGTACTTTATAGGTATGTAGTTGCAGATGTAGTCAAGCAACGCTGCCTTATGGCCGAGCCTGACAAAGATAACCTGTACGATTTCAATAAACGTATCATCTCATGATCAAATGAATCGCAGTTGTTTTAACAACAGTGTACGGTGGCCAAAAACCCAACCACGAAAACGAAGCTCTGTATTTTAATTCGTCTTTCAGATGTGGCGTGTAGTACTACAGTCGTATGCAACGTTAGGGAAAGCATGGCGAGATCAATTGCACAACTTCAATTCCGTTCTCACTGGAAAGGTAGTTAGTTAGAATTAACTAGATAGAATAATTCAAAAGCTGTGATTCAGAAATGACCCAGCTTGACGCACGAGTGGCCTAACCCACTTCTATTACTTGTTTTTGTCTAGACGCGTGAAAATCCCCGCTGGGAACAATGCATGACATCTCTGACAGGGTCACTTGGTCTGTCACTCTCGAACCTTTACGTAAAAAACTTCTTCCACGAAGATTCAAAGGATCATGCATTGTCTATGGTCAAATACATTACAAACGAATTCCTCAATATTATAAAAGTGAGTACACTTTTCTGCAGTTGCTGTCACCTCTCACTGACAGGTTTCAGCTAGCTAATTTTTTTTTAATTCATTATATTTTTTAATTAATTTATAATTCTTTTAATTGTCTTTCGCCTATAATTTAGCATTAAAAAAAAAGCTTGTCTCACAAGACGTTATGGCTGTACGAAGCTAAAGCCTTTGCAGTGAGATGCAATTCAGTCCAATAAAACAGTGCGTTATTTTATTAGTCTAGAATTTTCCTCGGCATTGCGGTGAGGCTACATTATATAGGGTCTCGTCGCAGATTCAGTGTGCCAAGGCTGATTAAATTTCATTAGCAGTTGGATGTACTCATTTACTGCATCTGTTCGTTGACGGGTGACATGTCACACAGCACGGAAATTGTTAAATAAATCTTTGTATTGTTATATCCTCTTTTCCTCTAATAATGATACTTTTAGAAGGAACTAATCGCTTCGTTGTTCAATTCATTTACAGGAAGTGGACTGGATGGATAGTGCGACTCGTCTACGGGCCAAAAATAAGGCGGAAGCGATTGTTCCATACATTGGTAATACCTAATTCAGCAACTCTAATATTACAGTTGAACATTTATGGGCCCTCATTTTTTCCAAGAAAAAAAAACGGATCTGCATGGATCGTGCTCCGTGTTTCATTCTAGAGATCTAGAGATTGAATTACGCAGTGGTATAATAGAACAATACCAAGCACGTAGCAGCGTTCAAACTTCGGCACGGTACATAGAATCTTGCGATCTTTACTCTCGATTTTACCCTGCTAATATATTATCCGATGTTAGCTGAATTATGTGGAATAACATAGGTCAAACTGTCATTTAATTATCTGGTTTATATTTGAAAAAATGAGAACATCTTTGAAGAATTCAAAGCAAAGTCTTGTAAAAACCTTCGAGCTAGCTTGGCTGATGAAGATCTTATTCTTTAGATTTAAACCAAATGATTCAATTATGGATTTTTAATGTGTTAGAGATACTCCTTTCTTGTCCCAGGGGTCTGACAATTTCTGGACAGCCGCATACCGTATTCCCATATGTAATTTCTCTATGTATGGCTTCTCGAAGTAAATCGATGGTGGGACGTGATTGCTTACCAGCTTCCCGAATTAAAACATGTAAAGCTACATAATCATATGGATTTCATCAGAAGAAGCATGTTGAAGCCAACGTGGGGTATTCTTTTGCTCAATCCAGGTAGTAACTGAGGCATGGCGATAAGGTCTGACGTTTTCATCTTATGATTATGATATGTCAATAGGACTTGAAGCATCGGGCTGCATTTCGTGTTTCACTTTCGGCGAGTATACTATAATAGCGGATGCCCTGAGTGTTTATTACAAGTACTACCATCACTTTTCGTTTGCACTTCCTTGACCCCTCATGGAGATTGATTTCTCATTAGGGGGACGCTAGTTACTCGCTTGGTCCCACTCTAAGCGGGGTGTAGAGGCAACCAGGCCTTGTCTATGGCAAAGATCTTCCAAACGAGTTGGTTAATTTCGCGAATCACGTGGAATGCATTACGTACCGTCTAACTGGCCTGGAACCAATTCACGAGGGATCTATTAGCTCGATTTACGCATTTTCAGTATTGGGTAATAGTTCTGTAATACATTACGTGTGAAATCCTAGTTTTGGCCGGCAGAGTTTTCCGAATCCAAGCTCTGCTTTCGTAAAAATACTTGGCAAGGCGTTCTCTTTTTCAAGTCCCAATATCTCGCCTGGTCTTCAACACTTCAGTCTTCCTTCTTGTCACCCCTGCAGCTCTGACGTACTGTGCTTTCCCTGTAGGCTTCCTGGCCCAATGTCATTACTAATCTTCAGTGAACAAGCGCCTTTAAGCGACAAACGCTTGAGCAATTGTGCCCTAGTTGATATGTATTGGAATGACGACGCATGAATACCGGATTCAATGCGAATTGTTCGCACCACCTCTACATATATATACAGCAGTAGTGACGAAAATACCTAGGCTTATTTTTATTTGTGCCGTTCTGTTACGCCAACGATGTATGTATCCTAGTCAGCCTTCTAAGCTAGTTTTTCTTTGAATCTGCTCTGTGTTCTCAAACCGTACCTTTTTCCCCCAACTACTCCGATGACACCCGTTGACGCTTAGGTATACGCATTTCTCTGTGCACCCGTTTACCTCTTCCTTGAACGAAAGCAGACCTCAGAATACATGCATTCCCTCCCCTAGGCTTCGAGCTGCGACAACCTTTACACAAAGTGGCCGCGTTTTTAATAAACCAGCCGTATACCCAAAGTGATTGCCTGGACTCACGCGAAGTGCAACAGCGCTGTGTCACATTTGATACGACACAGGAGCCCGTTGACCAAGAAGCATCTGCTCCTGTATCAATTCTAACGATGATCTCATCCTGACGTCGATCCGCCCGTTGCATTCTTCTCACATTCGCCATTTGAAAGTCGATTACGAAACACGTTCGTTGTTCTGTGCCACGCTAATGCGCTGAATCTGATTGCTCTTAGCCCAAGGGCACTTAGCTTGGAAACGATTCTGCACGCCCGGACGTAACAGCGTACTATACACGCGAGAAAGGGGCCGTTTGCAAGGGCCGTTAAGTAAGGTGGCAACGCTACAGTAAGGTTGTTCACGAAGTCATCACACTGGCACGACTCCTTGGCGTATTCTTGCGTAACTCCTTGAACTCTGGCGAGTCCCCAGTGCGCTCCAATAGAAACCGCTTTTTCTGTGTCAACGTGTACAGGCTCTCGCTATCTCGTTAAACTCGCACATATTTTCCCGTGTGACTTTGGGCAGGAAAACTGTACAATTTAGCCCACGAGTGTGTTACCTACCGATGCTACGTATTCAAACTAGTATTAGAGTGGGTTTAGCTTATGTCCACAAGCAATGTCCCGAGCGCGCCATGTGTGCGCCCGAGTGACCCAGATTTTAAGTAGCCGAGATTAGCAGTAATATTGTTCCACACACACACACACTCAAATGCTCCGCCATAGGCCTGAGCCTCTTGAATGAAGTTGGCCGACCATTTCGTATATTCTTGAATTAACCACCCTCTTGGTTACGACAATTTGTTTTTCTCTTGCGGCTAACAATTGTGATGACGACGACGACGACCTATTACATGGCGGCGTGATCAAATAGCCGTTACGTCGTTCTCATATAAAAAGAACGATAGAAATACTAAAAAAAAAACTAGGAGTAAATTTATGTGTAAATAAATAAATAAAGATATGGGATATCTTTTAGGATATCCGTCTGAGCTGATGAATGATACCCTGCTTTCTGACCACTACACAAACGTTTCAATGAAATCCGACGAGTATTTCAAGAATGTCATGCAATTAAGACGGTGGTCGACCGACTACTCCTTCGGACAACTCCGTAAGCCTCACATCAAGGTATAAAGTTTAAAAGAACGTCGTTTATTACTATATTGAAAATATAACTAATTACTAACAGTGCTCTTGTAGCTGACGATTTAGCCGTTATGTAAATTTCAATATTTTTAATAATTTATCTTTTCGTTCATTTTAAGGAAGAAAACGGGTCCAAATCCAAACCTAAGAAATAATGATAAATTTCCGAGATTTCTAGAAATGTTCTCTACAAACATCCTCTGATATTTGTATTGTCTAATTAAAACAAAGCTGTTATCTGTCAAATGTCTTCTTTCCCATTGATATATTATAAGTAGGCAAAAGAACAACCAAGTAATACACGATTTCTTAGTCGTTCTAATAATTGATTGCTTTGTTTCTTGACTACACCCTATGACTGATCGCATTATCAAACGATCGTGTTCCTTTTAGATATTGCATTGATTGTGATCGTTGTTGTTGCTATGGCTTTTACAACACAAGGAAAGATTTCGGAGATTGTGGTGATAATACAGATGCTTTTTCTTATTTTGTTTGCAATTAGGGTGAGTGGAAGAAACATGCTCAAGTTGCTGTCGTAAACGCGTTCTATAACTCACTTGAAAACTGCATCGAGTTTCCAGCAGGCATCTTACAGGGCGCGTTCTTTTCGAAGGATAGGCCCAACTACCTTAATTTCGGAGCAATAGGATTTGTAATCGGTCACGAAATCACCCACGGTTTTGATGATCGAGGCAGACAGTTCGACAAGGTAGTCTAAGTTAACCAATGTGAACTAGCTTCAACTTACGCTTGTATCTACTTCATTTATTTTTGCTATCAATACAACATTTTACCATACTCTGCTTGAATATTTAGTTGACTGTTTGATATAAACGGAATAAATACATATGTGTAGTAAATCTCTGATACCCCGTTCATTCCAGGATGGTAACAACAAAAACTGGTGGGAACACGAGACTGACGAAAAGTTCAAGGGTAGAGCTCAGTGTATTATTCATCAGTATGGAAATTATACGGTTCCTGAAATTAATATGCCCGTTAACGGAATTAATACGCAAGGCGAAAACATCGCCGATAATGGAGGCATTAAGGAAGCTTTTCGGGTGAGTAAAGTTTTGTCAGTCAAGACAGCTTTTAGGCGTTTTTTGGCAAACAATTCATTCTTCAGAATGCTGAAAGTAATAATAGATCGATGCCGGTAGTAATGATAGATCGTTAAATAACGAATCTGTAATATATAATTAACAGCCTGTTTGGTAAACATCCCTTGTGAAATCAATTTTTAAAACCGCTGTTAACATAAGTTTCGCTACATACACGAGTACGAACATGACAGTTTGTAAATTCAACCTTCCGTGTATTTTCCTTTTCTTCTTATATGATAAACACGCGTGCGTATTATAGTTTTTTTTATACGCTGAATCTGCTATTTGTTGTAGGCATACCGCCAATGGGTAAAAGATAATGGCCCAGAAGGATCCCTGCCTGGGTTAAACTACACAGCCGACCAGCTCTTCTGGATCTCGGCAGCGAATGTTTGGTGCGGCAAATACCGACCAGAGGTCATGCGCCTTCGGTAAGAAACAGTTCATCCCACCGAAAAATCGCGCACCCACCTACCGCTAAACTAATTCAGTCTCGCGTGCTTTTTCAAGATGCGTTCTGATCGTCTATTCTCCGTTAAGTCGGAATCAATTGTTAATATTGGATGTTTTCATTTGTTCTTCTTTCAGCACCATCTCTGGCTCACATAGCCCGGCCCCTTATCGAGTTATTGGACCAATGTCGAACACGATTGAATTTGCTGAGCAGTTTAACTGCCCTATTGGCTCACCAATGAACCCAAAGCACAAGTGTACTGTGTGGTAAATGACAATTAACTCCAATCGAATTTGTGGCGAAACAACAATAAAGTTGAACGATGGAAACATTCTATATCCCATCGATTGTATTGGTTTTTTTTCCATGATGCCAGGTGTCGCCTTAAATTCAGAATTACTGATTACCGGCGACAATCAGTGTTCGGTTCCATTTGAACTAACGGAAACGATATCCGAACCATTCTGGCGGGTCGATTAAACGAACCTGACGGAACTACAAAAATTCAATTGTAGGTAATACGTACTGAGCCAAATTTATATTATTATAGCGATAAGGCAAGCAACAAACAGTGTTCCGCCACGTGTAGGTGGAGTTATCAGCTCAACCAATCAGTAGATATTCGCATTAAGGGGGTAACGTTCAATTTGTTTTTTACCAGTCAGTAGCAAACGCTCAATCTATCTCAATATGAGTGTTGCCCTAGCGATAAACAGGCGTGTACCCTGCCTTAACGTTCTGTTCTTATATTGTTTACTACGGCTTTATAACGGCATGAATGACTTTAAGATTTCACTAACAAACAACTGTCCTCATTCATTCATTCACACAGTTGTTACGCTAATTTGCCACTGTTTAATCTCATGAATGTACCACAATGAGTATCAATCCACCTCTACATATATATAAAAAAATCAATAAATACATTATTCTAGTTAGTACACAACTTTTTCTCCCGCTTGAATTCAGTTAGTAACGCCCATATTACTCGCACACTACGCGTACAGTCTCAAGTGCTAGATGTACGTCTATAGTATATATATATATAGTATATATATATATATATATATATATATATATATATATATAATAAGTAACAGAAACAACAGGACGAACTCGGAGCAAAACAAAGACCATAATCAAACAACAGCTCGCATCATCAGATATATTTACGTAGAAGAAGGAAATATATATATATATGAGAGTCTATATAAAAAAAAAAAAAAAGGCGGCCAAGTGTGTATATACGTGGGGCGGCGCTTCCGTAGACACACTCATTAATATGATATTTGCATTACCATCAATTGTCGTTGTGGCCGCTCAACTCTCTCCGTTTGTTTCTTAACCGAACTCTGTGATCTATCATCAGGGTAAACCTAACATTTTCGGTTACCTTCTAACCGCTGGACAAACCAAGGTGGGGTAATGAAAAAAGAGCCTATTACTTCCGCTTAAGAAATCGACTTATAGGTTCTGTCGTATGACGATAAAACATGCTTTTATCTTTATTTTTTTAACGATCTTCTAAGCACAAAAACACCAACTGGATAGGAACAAAAGGGGTAGAGAGGGATAGCAAATGTAATAACGGTAAGAGAAGTCATCCTCTATAGGGCACAAGACGCAAAACCTGTGTAACAGGTCCTCATTTTTGAACGTTGCAAGCCACTGTCAAAGTCCAGATTTTGTGAGTGGATTGAAGGGCTGGTGCATGCTGATGACGATGGTGATGAGAAAATGCGTTTGTCGTGGTAAAAACATGGCCAGAAATTAAACTTTTCAAGGGCAAAAAGTTCTGGCCAGTAAAATAACTCCTGATGGTTCTGTAGCTGTATATGTTGTATATACATTTATCCCGTATATATTATATCTCGTGTAACTGTTATGTGCTAAAGATCGATATATGAAAATAAATATTGATGGTAAAAAACTAATTAATTTTTATCTGACAAAAAAAATGCGTGTTTCTTTCGTAGCCTGAGATTGCTAAATGCCAACTTGAAGAAAAGGACGCGGGTCAATACGTGGGTGCCGATTCTATACAGATCAGGAAGAAATTTAATTAGCTCAGTTTCTAATTCTTATTTTATGAGGTTCACTAACATATTCACTTGCTCTGTAATGGAGTATTACATCTCGCCTTAAATTTTATATATTATTTAATATGACTAAATTATGCGGTCATCTTTAAACGAAGCTAAACAACCGTATGCTGCCTGCTACAATTGTTTAGCTGTAAAGGAGACGTCACGTGACGTCTGGCTCACCGAGTTGCCTTCCGGCTATACAGATATACCAAAGGGAAGCTTTAAGAATGGTCCACGAATAATAGAATTCATTTAAACACAGCTGAGCAGGCGCATAGGATGCTTTCTTACATAGCTTAAGCTCAATACGTTGATATAAGGCAGTTTTAATCATTTCTCTGTAATTCTATCGTATCCTTCTCCCTTTTCACGTTGATGTATGCTTGATAATTGCTCCCTCAACCAACGCTGCATTGCTTACAAAATAGCCAATTTTCTCGTTTAAGGTCTGACAACTGCATTTAATGTTAATTTAATTAATTAAGTTTAAACGTTCCTGAAACTAGATACAGAGCGCACAGCGAACTATATAGCTTTTTTCTATAGTTATCTTCCTTCACTTGAGTTTGACTAGAGTTATATTTTGACATATTACAATGGGTGTCAACCGGAGCTTAAATCTGTTTCACACTTCCTTTACCTCTTAAATGTCCCTTCGAAGATATGGAAACCATAACTGAAAACGAATAGTGTGTGGCTTATGTACTACTACTGAAATACGAGTTTTTCGGCCGGGCTTGAGACTGAAGAGCGATGGTAAACTGAATTGCTGATTTTGAAAAGCCAAACTTGTTTCTTGCCTAGAAGTTCCCTGGATAATTAAAGAGAAAGCTTACACTCAGCTAGGCAGTTTTGATAGAATATCATGGCATATTTCCAGTAAAAAACGGCAATTGTTTGCGCTTCAAAATATCTAGCCATTTGGTTCCATCAAAGGTTTGCTAAACAAATACTTGCTAAAACGATGTCAAGGACTTCCAAGAACGAAGTATTTATAAAGCTGGTATGCTATCTAGTAAATTGCTGTTTAGAGAAAAAAACCTTTTTCAAGGCCTGTAATTATAGAGCCTGTAATAATTGTTCTTTTAATAAAGACTTGGATTGAACACTCAACTGAAATCTAATAATACTTCAGCATAACCTCAAACTCCAGCTAGGGTTGTTCCAGAAAGTAGGAGTTGCAAATATGTTGATGGTAAGTAGTTTGGGAAGCTCAAGCCCTTACAACTATCGACGGTTCTCTTTTGATCAAAAAACATTTTCTTCGCATAGCTGACTATATGAGTACAGCGTCGTCTCAATTTTTCTTTAAACTGTAATATAACTATGCAGGCATTTATCGATTTAAACGGAAAACTTTACGACTTCGTAGAACGACCAATATCTGCCTCAAACAGGTGCTTGTTTACAAGAGGCGTCACCCGGTTCGCTGAATATCTACTTTGTCACCATCTATAGCCTACTACATCAGAACAGACGACCAAATTATGCAGTTGCCCAAGCAACTTTGATAGCGCGGATATAATATTAATGAATTATTTTCCGCCTCAGAAGCGTTTCTGGCGGCTCACAATATGAAAGTCAAAACCTTAAAAAGAAGACGAGTCTTCATTATTCCTCATCTGCGAATTCGCAGGAGAAGATGGTATAAAATTTTGAAGTTCTGCCGAAACAAGTCGTGCATAAACAATGGTAATACCAAGGGGCCGTATGGAAACAATGAAATATATTACATCAAAAAAGCTCACCAAATATGGGAGAAAAATCAGTGTGGATGTGTAATTTGCCCACCACACTAGCATCGTTTGAAGATGCTTGCTTTCTTTTCAGCGTCAGCTTAAAAAAAGCCAGTATTTTTTGAATGTTCAATTAACTAGTGATCAAATCTAATATCAGAATTTTAAGGAAAAAGTTAATCTGCTGCTATGTACTTTTAATTTGAGCTCTGAACTGAGAACCCAAGGCCATTAGGACCACTCGCCATCTGGCAGTATTCTACAGCTTCGTTCTTCATCACAGACATTGTTGCTCAAATAAGTTTAAAGTGTAACACACATATTTGCCTAACTCAGCCCTTGAAACACAAAAGTCCATTCGCCTTCTGAATTCAGATCGATGGCTATTCTTAATAATTTTTATTTTCTTTTTAATTGTTTTTCTTCAACATATAGGAACATCAAAGCTTTCTTTTTGAATTGAATTTAACAGTTTTTTCTTCTGACTAAGTATGCGTAGTGATCTGTCACTATTGAATGTTGATACGCTTGAACTACTCCAAATGACACACTACAATATTGAGTGAAGCTGTTATTGAAGGCGTAGCTTTTGGAAAGAAGCCTTTATTATGTCCAATGGTTTAGTCCAATTTAGCTTAAAGAAAGCAAAAAGATCCGTATATTGAAATAAATAATTTTCTTTAACCCTGTTTATCGTTAGCGAATGAATAATATGCTTTACATAAGAAATTATTACCACTTAGGTTTTCTTCGGAAGAACGCTACTTAGCAAACCAATGAACTAATTGTTTAGCCCACATTATTTCATCATTGGAAACGACATTAGAAGCAATAATTCTGATTCTACCATTGGCTATATTCTGTGTACGTAGTGCGTTAGAAGACCAATACGATCGATAAATCGTTCGATCCTAATGCGATATCTTTTTTAAAAAACAAATTGACTTTTGTTATGCTGTTGCTTCGTCAAACCACTATGCAGAGCGTGTAGAGTGTCGTCAGAAAAGTCTATAGATGAATTTTCATCCGGCGCAAGTGCTGTTGCTTCAATGCCTGGCTTCTTTGAGCATCAAACGAAGTGTGTCAGCACCCATTTTCGAGCTCTTCGTTTGTGAAATTCTTTTACGAGCTATGCAGATGCATCAAAAAACCTTAACAAGGTTTTCCATACCTTTACTTAGGTTTTCAAACAATGTTTTATAAGAAGGTTGGCTTTCTTTGTTTACGGATAACCTGGCGTACCCGGATGTATTTTTCTAAGTAGCCCTACGTGAAACTCAAGTGTGGAGCTACCATTAAGCTTAAGCGGAACTTGTTCCTCGGTGTTGTTGAGAGTCCTACATTCTTAAGAGAAACTACCTACTAGTTGCGATTCTCCAGGAGACCCCTCAAGACTCGAAAGTATTTTGAACCCAGACAGCCTTGGATGCCCTAAATTTCAAGGGGTAAACACGTCATCACTTCGTAGAGATCATTAGAGATATCTAAAATAAACTTAAATCTTGAATTGACACCCGCATTATGATTCAGTAAGGTCCAACAAGCGCGTTCACTCCACATAATTGTCGCCATTAGGCCATTTTTGACTGAGGAAATACAAATGTGGCTTTCGTCACTTAGTGACGAAATAGTAAAATCGGCCTGCCAGAGCTACATCCAGCAATTAGTACCACACTAACAAATATAGCGGAGGCCCAGTTTTAGTGATACAAAAAAGGTTATGTTGATCATTATCAGCAGGTGAATTCCTTGTAAAAATCTGCCAGTGTTTTTATTTTCGCTCTGAATTATAATTTGCTTATAGTCTACTATGATAAATTTGATTGCCATGCCCGCCAATACGATGCTGATGCATGTTTTTTCGCAACTGCCAGTTTGTTGTCCTCCTCTTTCAACTACCGGTTTGTTACGGTTTAATGGATGACCTGTAAACCTATCTTCTGCCACTGATGAACATCTCAGAATTGTGCCTAAAACGGGATCAACATCTTTCAGATTGCATTACCTAGAATTAAAGTTGATACGATAGTTCTAACCAGAAAAGTGTGGAGCAACTAGTAGGAATAGCTAAAGCTGACTCCCTTTTGTTAGTATTTGACACGGAGATAGTGCTATGCTGTTTCCTAATCGAGCAATATTTTTTCGTTACTTAACTCATGGACTGCTCGGAGCCCAGCTGATAAGTAGTTAGCCTAGTCCAGCTCATTGAATACATTCAACTGGTTGTACTATAAGCAGGAGATCAACTAAGTGCTACATTTGAGGGAGATGCGTATAATGACTTGCTCGTATTGTTTACAGCACCTTACGTACATGTGAGTGATGTATATATATATATATATATATTTTCAAAGTCAAATTTTACATATATAATAAATAATATAATATATGTAAAATTTGACTTAGCACAATACGATTCTAGTGAAGGCGATGTTTACTTAAAATTACACTAATATGACGACGCCTGCCAACCGAGTAATCTCGAGTAAACCAGAATGATCAAGACATTTCTCTTACTGCAAGATTATTAAAAAAGATTTTTAGAATTGAGCTTTTTTTAAACACCAAACTTCGGTCAAGAAAGGATGATTGTTTATGAGTGTTTAATTGGCTTTTGATTGGAGACGATTGGCTTTAATACGAAAGCGGACATTAGATAATAATCCCAATCATTTAACAGTTTTCATATCTGGTTTTCATGACAGCACCGCAAGTTGAAGCAGAAAATGTTTACTGAAGTAAGGAAATTATTGAACTTGTATAAAAAAATTGTTATCTCGAGAGGAATTAGAAAAAACGTTGAAACTGGTACTGATAGAAGTTTTAGTTTTAGCAAAAATATCAGTTACTTCAGTAAAACTAAAGTTTCGATGTAACTTATGTTTCTAATTAATCTTAAGATAATTTCTTATACAAGTTCAGTAATTTTCTTATAGACAACAATGTGGTCACACTTAACAACTGCATATCGCATGTGTAGCAAATTCATATTAAAAATTCAAGATCTCCGAGCAAATTACTCAATTCTGGCTGTGGATGAAGTTTAGAGCCTTCAAATCGACCGAATACAGATCATGTTTATATATTTTGTATATGTATGTAAAAATTGATTTTGTGGTCTGGAGTACTTCGCAGTTTTCGATTATGGAGTCTCTGTGGATCTGCTTTATCTTTTTCGAGCTATTTGTTCGAAGCGCTAGAGCGGTTTTTGTTATGACTCAGCTGTGTTGATTTTCGCGCGGGCCTTGCTTTCATTAAAGGCCACCCCGTGCTTAGTAAACAATCGAACCCGTGAATCCTCAGATCCCGTTCCAGGTATCTTTGAGGTGTCGCCTAGAATTTCAGGTCTCATAAAGGTAGGTCAATTCTTGAAAAAAGGTTTATTCTTTATATGTGTGCTCGTACTTCTATTATTTTGTATAGGAATGCAATAACCGTAATCCTTACCTTAGCTACATGTGGTACCGACACAAGGTTAGTGAGATTCTTTGATATACTGTTTACCCGGCTTTGTTTGACAGAATAGCGTAGATTCGTTCGCGATACACCCAAATCGTAGTCAGCTACATTATATACAATAAGTAGTATACGAATGGTATAGAAGCCTTAACAGCCGTACAGAGGCTTAAAAATAAGTGTTTTAAAAAGACTGCAAATTATGTATGCTATTAATGTTTATGCATTTCGGACTACAACTTAGCCAAGGTCTTTATGACCTTGTATTTAATTTACCGATATACATTCATATTCAATTATTCTCGTTGGTGAAGATTATATTTATTATTATTATTATTTTCACACAATTACATTTTAAAAGCATGTGAGTTATAAACTGTGCCTAGCAGCTTCTTCAAATTGACTTAAAAGAAGATCTGTTACACGCATTCAGGAATCATTCCTTTTCTTTTTATTTCCTAATTAAAGTTAGCCCGGAAATGTCTAATCAGGTTATTTAATTATCATATGATAGTCGAAAATAATTTCGTCATCCTTTGCGCAACAGCTATACTTGTGCGCGTTACTTTCGTTATTTAATTAAACATCTTTGTATAAACATGTTTTAGTAGACAGTCTATATACCTAGCATTTACGTTTGTGACACTTCCAGTGAATAAAGCAAAGGTTTGTATTTTATTATTGGATTCTACTAAATGGATATGTCCGTTCTAAATTGTTTTCTGATTAAGATGGGTTGGATTCGGACAACAATGAGATTAGCCGTAGTCGGTGGTGCCGGCTACGCTGCCTGTAAGGCCGATGTTTGGGGCGACAATAAGACCACCGTAAACTACATCAGCAAGCAGTGCGACTCCTGCGATAAGTCAGTTTTTACCTTACGATAATATCTTTGCCTAGAGAGATTCGAATTGTATTATGAAGGTTGAGCATCATTCCCAGACTACTGCAGAGTTCTTTGCCAACGGCTGTACCTGCTCCGCCAAATTTTTTAAAAATTTTTTCCCAAAAAAACTCCGTCAAAAAAAATCCGCAAAAAAATATTCTACCTTCCGTACGCATTATCTTCTACCAGCTTGACCCTACAAAAATTAGTGCCATGGGACTAATAGAAGTAGTTATTGCTTACAGGAAATTAAATAGGATCAAAATAGCTTAGCTGGTATTGCTTATCTATTATAAGTTTTTCTATGCGCGTTTCTTTGGATGGTTGTTTACATAAAGCATTAATATGAAATGAACTTATGAATAGCGTAAACAACTTGACTATACTATTGGATATGCTGATTGGCCATACACTTGCTCGGCTCAATTACCAGCAGAGAACGTATGCATATAACTTGATAGTAGAAATGCGAAATGTAAAACAATACATATAATGGCTCCCAAGTTAACTTTTATTTTTGTCACCTCCGAAATATCTCCGTAATAAGTGAGCAAGATACAAAAACCGTGTACTTTTCATACACTTTTAATAACAGTATAAAGATAATACTGCTTATATTATCAGATGCTTAGAAAAAGTAATATAATGAATTGTTTATGAACTTTGGTGGAAAGACCGTTTTTCCAAATAGTTTTAGTCATTGTCAATTGTTAGTGGGTAGGAACGATTCTCATCATTCTATATATAATACAATGTAATTGTGTTATCACCTTTTTGGTCGGCTGGTGTAGGCTGAAGTACTACAAAGCGTTGGTCCCGTCATGCGAAGAGATGAGAATTAAATGGGCCGACTCCTGGAATGGTGGAGTGAAAACCGTGTTTACGTTTATTGATCAACTTCCCCAGAATACTGTAGATGGCGTTACCTGGACCGTAAATAAGGTATACTTGTATCCTATTAAAATTGTCATCGCTAGCATCGTTTGCGATCTTCGAGAAGGTGGTTAAGGTCACTAACTACAATTGTTAATTTCAGATTCAAGAGCTAGCTGCTATCGATCCCGCTCACGAGGAAAAACCTAAGTCAGCCCCTCCCCGTCCCAGCAACGCTAGTAAGAGCCCCAGCAAGTAATTGAAAAGTTTGAATATGAATTTTCGTTACTAAATGTAAAATAAATATTTGATGTTTGCAGTAATATTACGATCGTTTTTTACTTAATGCGTGCAAAAATATCTTTACTATACAGTTGATCATTAATTGAGAAGAAGACAAATACACGTCACCGTACAGCACACGTTTAGCTTTATTTTATTACCCCTGTAGACCAAGGTCAGCAGCCTTAGCACAATATGTAACACGTTTCCTTCTTCGTAGGCTATGTCGCAGTACCTACCGCGAACTGTCGTAATAATTACCTTATGTCATTAATGTATTAGAGATACATTCACTCAATTTGACAATGAAATCACGACATGTAAAAATAGAGTGTAATAACTCTAATTTGAATATGTAATAATGTAATAACTCTGTTATATGATCGGCGTCTTCGCAAGCGTAATAATGAGAATGATAGCGAAATAATTAATTCTTTAAGCAGGGAGCTTGCGCGTCCTCGTGAGCAAGGCTCATCGATTCGCAGAGTTTTTTGTGTGATGACCAGTCGATCTTTTGACACCGTCTGTCGCAGTACACCGTGGCCTAAAAATAAATTTTCAAAAATTGAATAATTGCTTTCGAAAATTGGTCAACTCCAAACGCTGGCTTCACATATTACAGTGGGCAGGTTGCATACAAGTAATGGTAAGCGGAGAACCTATTGACCTCCATACACAAACGTTGAAAGTTTAACTCACGTCTGACTGGGACAACTCATATCAGAAAGTTAGTTAATGGACGTCACGTCATGCCACAAAGTCAACGGACCTAAGTGCCAGTTAGGCTCGTCTTGCCAAATGACAAAACCCTGAGCATAATGAAAGAGTCCGTGGGACGCAGCGTAGCTTGTACGAATACTGGCAGTGGTAGAAGTCGAGTGCTGGCGGGGCAGGCCCGTCGACTGTGCTTTCATTCCACAGCCAACGAAATGGAGGGCATCTAAGGGGGCAGGATTATGGTATTCTTTATAGCTACTTTAACGATTTGATATATTGTGGCTACGTATGCATCATAGAGGATTTGTTTCTGTTTTTCTGGCATACATTGTTATGTTACGTGTTAAAGTCAATTAGAAAAAAAAGAGGCTAGATCGACTACTTGGGCTCTACCAATTCTAGGATATTTTACAACTATTCGCGAATACGAACTTCATCGGCGTTTAGTAAACACGAAATATATATATATATATATATATATAATATATATGTATATCGTATCGACTTTCGTGCATAAGACATTTTTCAAGAACGGTTTAATTAACAAGTTCTTGACTTGGTAAAACAAATAATAGTTGATAACAAAAAGCTTGAAAATTCACCTTGCATGCCGCACAGCGGTTTTGAGCGTTCAGTTCCCAACACGTTTGGCATCCACCATCAGGCCTCATACCTAAATAAAACAGACGAAAAAATACAAAGTTATATCTGCTAAACCAATAGTAAAATACAAACAGAATTGTAGAAGACAACTCACCAATGAATTACTCGTTTTGTCACTTCAAGGAAAGTCTGGCTGTACTTTATAGTCGTACTGAATAATCACATTTCGAAAATCATTGTCGTGCATATATGTGTAAAAAGGGGCATATGTTTAGGAGGAAGCTTTAACTAGATACTAACCGAGAAAGACGGTAATAGCACCATCATCGTCTATAGGCGGTGCTTGAGGTGTGTGAGCTAAGGTTGTGACCATTTGACGAAATTCACCGCTTTCATGGAAGGCATAACTTCGTACGCACTGCCGGATAAAGTTGTCCAAGTTCAACTAGATAGTTTTCAAGAAAAACACATCGACGGAAAAAACAGCTTGTTAGATCAGCGACGTGGTATTAGTAACAGAATTTCACAGAAAACGCCTACCCTGAAAAACAGTACTGGTACAGAATAACAAGAATTACGATTTGTGCCAGAATTCTAGACATAAAAGAAAACTCATAATCTACCTTGAAGCCGTCCTGTTGTCGACCCTTCAACCAGCTTTTTAGGGATTCTTCTACACCGTTCTTCAATACGTGCTCGATGATGCACTTCACAAAATGAATTTTTCCTGACAGCCATTCATTTCCATCTCTTTTAAAATAACGCTCACTCATTGTTTGCAAGACGGAACAAACCTGTAGCACACAGAATAAACAATTTAGATAAAACTACTCCTGAATTCTGTTAATGTATATATACGTCCTTGTTTAGAAAACCTCTTTGGCCGATAACGAGTTTTTCATAAATGGCAGTTTTGTGTTTTTAGTGTGGACAAGCTTTGTAAATATTATTGGATTAAAAATATGAGAACCGCGTTTATATAAGTAGGGCCATTTTTGTTAATAACAAAACATTATCATGTGTACTTTGAATTTGCTTCTCTACTTTTTTGTCTACGAGTTCCGGATGCTCCTCCAGGGTGTAGGCAACTCGAACGGGATGAACGTTCGCTTGCATGATCAGCATTCTAAGCGGTTCCGCCCACTCAGAAGGTAACCGAGGTTCACTTTCCAGTTCTGAAAACAACCATGAATCATCAATACCATTCATGAATTTATACATTCTCCGCGAAAGATCATTACAGGAGAATAGTGCTGCGGAAGTTCCTGCAAAGATTTGCTGTCAGCACAGATATCTTTTATGGTTTATAAACAAAAGGCTTTTACACAGAATTCACGTTACGTCTATATATACAGCGAAATGATATTGGTATAGAATAACTCCTAGGAGACTCAGACAGATTATCCTGATGCGTATTACTAACCTTGCTTTTTGGTGTAATAGACGATATCAGACATAGGTACATAGCCTTTGATTGTAGCCACAATATGCTTCATACCCAGAAAGGCTGCCATTTCTGATGCCGTCCGATTAACCTTTAACAAATAATATGATACATGAGGCTTTTAATAAAAAAAAGTTAATTTAGATACATTGTTATACACTCTGTAAGCAACATTTTTTGCTGTTAAGGTTGTTTAGAGTCGTTCCCTTGGTAAATTAGTGGGTAACGTATTTGCCTTGTAATCTTGAAAACGCGTGTGGTCTAAGTTCAAACCCAAGCGTAGACACACTTTGTGCCGGGAGTCAGCCGTCTGATAAAACACCTAAGAGCGATACCGGATGTAAAACTCGAAACAAAGATTACTTTAGAGTCAAACACACTCGACCGTACCTTATTTACTGTATGGGTTTTCGCTCCAGCATCAAGGAGCTGTTGGACCACCTTCACATTGCCCGAGAGCGCTCCGAACATTAGGGTCGAATAGCCTAGAACAAAGAAGCATGTTTCTAAGCAACAGTAATTAAGGATAAAGGTAAAATTGAATTTTCCCAAATTTTTCTAAAAATATGTTTAAGGTAACGCTTGAGTTTACGAAAATAGAAAACGAAGTCAAAGTTCAATCACAAACCTTCCGCTACGCGCGCGAATCAAGCCTGCCTTTAACGTATATATTGTTATAAGATAACAGCTTGTTTCACATTGTAAACGCATTACGTGATTATTGTACATTCGTAACGTATGGCTCTCTTATATTATAAACGCTGCGATACCTTCATTATGTTCGTAAGTATTGACGCATGCGCCATGGTCAATCAACATCTTGACCAGGTCAGCATTTCCCTTAAAAGCCGCATGCTGTAAAGGTGTCATGCCTTGGTCATCCAGTTCATCTAAGCCACTGTCCTCTTTACCTGGAAACGGACAGAAATTTATGGGAAGAACTTAACGGAAACGAATCATTTGGTCCATTTTAATTGGGTTAGAGAATTTTTTGCGATTTTGTGCAGTTGACTAACCGCAGGCATAGTGACACCTTTTGATGTAAATAAGATGTCTCTACCATTACTATATACTTATTAACAACTACAAAATTTATACGGTAAAACTGAAAATAAATATGTGAAATTAAAGCACTGATAACAACAGAAAAACAGCGATCTCCTAGAAATTGCAAGAGTTAAGCAATGCCGTAACATGCCATATGCGTTTAGTCCCTTCTAAAAGAACCATTTGAAAGGCGTGTGTATCAGAAACCTCAGAGTAACTGCCTGAGCCGGTTAAATAATCATAGTATCCTAAAAAAAGACAAAGGCTTTGCTTTATATAGGTCGTCTTTGACCAGTTAAAGTATCTCATTTAGCCAGCTTAACAACTGATTAAATGACAACAGTTGCCCACTTAGAATCTAATAATTGTATCTGTTAATGCCGTTCAATTTGAATGTTATTCAAGTAAATCATAGTAGAGCAATGAATATGTTTCATAGCAAAAAAAATTAAGTGCACTGCATTGTGCGACCATTCACCTTTCATAAGTATTCCTCTGATTTTTCCCAAATCCACATCTTTCGATTGGCACAGTTTGATGAGTGACATTTTGTCTGAAATAGATAAACAAATAACTTAGCCGATACTTTACAGAATATTTGTTGTTCTAACAGTCAAGTTAACGAATATGAACAGTAGTTCATAATACCGGCATCTTTCACGTTCCTCCTGTTTATACGCGTAATAAACCGACCCAACAAAGTCGCCAGTAAACGACGAACACTTATCAAAAATAAAGTGTTTCAATTTTCTGTTTACAACAGTTCAAAAGAAACACATGTAGCACCCGAGTTTAAACGCGCGCATCTCACGACTTCCGTGGTAGTTGTCCAACGAGACTCGCTCGAAGGTCGGAAGTGGTAAGGAATTTCAGGTGCCCGACAAGTAAAAATATATTTCCAACAACGAACACACAATATTCATCGATGTCAGTTTGTAAATTCTAAGGCTCTGACAACAAACACGTTGAAAAAATTAAACTCGGTAAATTAAAACGATTTGTTAATTTTTCTATGACGAATCTAGCAAGTCGCTCACACTCATGCTATATTTTGTCACTGTTTGTCGGATAAATTCCTAAACAAACAATAGCGAATTAATCGAACATCACCCATAAATATCAATGGAGCGCGAGCTCAAGCACTCGAAAAGAGCAAACCACACACTGGAATTGTTAGGTGAACGCTGTGAACATACAAGCCTACTGCAACAGTTCGGTGGTGCGCTTTTACTAGACCCACAAAAGAGTGCGCTAGTGAAGGTAAACATGCGTGGAATGACGTGTCCTTCGATAGAAAACCCAAACATGTGCTATGGAGTTTAAAATCCATTTGGCGCGAGCTGTTTTCGAGAGAATTCGATCATTCGACGAATGATTAGAGAAGTATAAATGAAAATATTGTATGTATGCCACCGAAGTTCTACTACATTCAACCATTAATTATATATTATTGATACGTTGTTCAATCTAATCTGGAGATAAGTCTTATAAGTAAGAAGAACTGCATAACGGATTGTATGATGGTATAATAAATGAAAACAACAAAGTTCTTCTATATGTTCTTGTCCCTTATACATAATGGCCCAATAAGCTATTGTGTACATCATCATTTTCACCCTTTTTTTTAAGTGAAATTGTAGCATCCGAGGTTAAAGACTAGGTCTACATATGGAAATGAGGATTTTTGTTTTAAAAAAGTGGATCGAGCCACTTTTTATTTCTTATTATCACGTCACCTCATATTTGGATCTGAACAGTGAAGAAAATGCTGATATTATTTACGACAAACCTTACTTTTTATTATTTAGTAATAAACATATAATCCGTTTCAATTGCTGAAGTACTTCAAGTCGATCATCATCAGGTTGCCAATGGACACCACGCTGGGGTTAATAAATTTCTCAAAACTTTTGATTTGAGATTCCAAACGATGAGAGAAAAACTAAAACTAACGAAAAACAAATGAATAATTTGGCATTAAGTCGCGAATTCAAAGACGTTCGCAGATTTCTAGTAGATAGCTCCTCTTCTTAGAAATTCCTTTAGACTACTCGAGTGAATCTAAATTGAAGCATATGTCATCAACGAATAAATAGTTCTGATCAGAAGGAATGAAATCTCTAAATTACAAGCTCTGCCGCAAACCTTCCTTTGCCTTCTGTTGTCAACGTCCTCAGAATAATTATGAAGGCTAGTAAAAACAAAGATATGTTTATTAGATCATGCGCATTTGCGCTAACCGTTTTATCCCGAAGTCTCCAAAGTAAATCATCCGCATGCACAAGGTCTTCAATAGGGTTTTCTTTGACAACATCACTGAACCTATGCTAATGATGATCTTGAATTGCTGAGTGCTTTATTCTAATTACTTTAATATTTACGAGAATACAATGATAAAATAACTAAATATAGAAGCTGAATAAATGCGCTAACCAGATAACTCAGTCATTTAGACGACTCAAATGTTGCCAACAATTGTCATAAAGAATGATCTTCTATGCATCAATATTAAATAAAATCTCTTCACTTCGGTAATCACTTTAAGTATCAGAATATGAATACTAAAGGTCGTGCTCATCAGCTCTAGATCTTGTCTACTTATTAGCACTGCTGAGAACCACAAACGTTCTGTTGTTACTCTAATATCCATAAATACACTTATGGCATACAAGGAGTATCATACAATATTATATTAACAATAGCTATAAAGTTCTCATTTTACAGCTCTGATCGGACGCATTCACGGGCCGGCTTGGTTGGGCGAACCATGACTATCGCTCAACATCAAAGCCCAGATCTTTCAGTTTTGATTGTAATGCCTGCACAATCGGCTCACTGTCTATGACCTTCGCCTTATTCTGTGTCTGGCTTTTAGGTCATTTATCCTTGTCAACTCTGTAGCTTTTATCGGGGCCCTTCTTCTGCTCAGCGTTTCTCTGCCGCTCCCCTTCGCTAGAACCATCCTCATCTTCACCTTTCAATTTTGCTTCTAAGTTGTTCAAATCCGCCAATTTGGATGGACAATACGAAAGGCGTCGATAAATTGCGATATAAATATGCGAGTCAGGTCGTGAGGAATATAAAGCAGAACGTACGCTGGAATTTGGGCAAAACAGTTAGCAATTAAGTATTATTATATTAGCAGAGAGCATTAGCTAATTCAAATAAGTAGGTCATCATTGATGCAAATGTTGACCTAAATTCAACGGTTCTATTGAAAAATTGAGTTTTGCTAAGACGGCACAAACGTTAAAAATACTAAGCCGATGCGTTCAAAATACATACTTTGCGTAATACTCGGTATACGCCGGTGAGACTAGCCTCTTTGTTTTAAACATTGTAACAGGAAGACGTTCATTTAACAATTCTAGTCTATTTAAAACTAGCATGTTATGTTCACAACATGCCTTCTCCCTATGTTTCGAATTATAGGTACTGTATTACCGTTAGGCATACCATTTAGCGGCTGACTCCCACTACCAAACGAAGGATGTCTGTGCCCGAATTCGAACTTGCACTATAACGTGTCTATAAGATTGCCAGGCAAATTTGTTGTGATATAATCAATCATGCGTACATAATCATGTCCTAACTTAGACTTAATACAATTAGGCACAGGTTGACGTACTCTCTAGATCGTAAGGTTTTAAGTTATCCCCCAGAGATCGAGATTCGATTTGAAGGGGGTAACTCTTAGTCACGTTGCTTTCGCCTTTTATCGACGGGTGGTACGAAGCTTGCAATCTCCAACAGCTCATCTTCGGTAAGATGGTTAATCGGTACTTTCATGATATTTCTCAGCGCTGGAGTCGTACGCGACCTGCGCAATGCTCGAAGTTGGAGAAGCAATTCTCTTAGGTCGTTCTCAGGTAAACTATTCAAATGGCGGAAAAAACTTTTAATTCTTACCGCACGCTCCGACTCATCCAGGACATTGGCTTTCCCCGCTGGTGGTGCGTTCAGAGGGGCAGTTAGTGCAGTGACGGCCACCACTGTTGGGAATACAGATAGCCAATTCATTCCTTCTTTTGGAGTGCTTTTTTAGACAAGTTTAGATTTTGGGAAGAGTAGGATTATACCAATTTTGCTAATAAAGATTCTGTTCGGCAGGATGTAATACTGCTAGTTGACAACGAATATTTTCTATCGGAAGACGACTAGTTTCTGTTCGGTACACTCTACAAAAGCAGACGAGCACTTGTGCATTTTATTAGTAAGAACCGAAATCAGACAAGCATCACTCGTTGACGTGTCAGTGCGACATTGAAATACCGATGGACGCTACCGCTTGTGCATATATTTGGTAAGATAGGGCATATGGCTACGCAAAACTCTGGCTTAGGTTGTCTTGCCTGCATTGACAAATGTAAGAATTTCTTGCTGACAGTTGTCTTTTTTAAATCCTACCACACGCCTATCTTTAGAGCGCTAAGAAAGCGCCCCCATCTTGTATACTACACATATCTGTATGATTAGAGTCGACAGATATACATATGAGGATACAGATTAATGAGATGAGAATACAGAGGAAACAGCTGTCGCTGAAAGCGATCATAATGTATGAAAAGCTTGTCCTGTCTCTAAATTTAATATACGAACGTAATTGGCATATAGATATAATAACACAAGCCGAAGGTGATTTTCAGAGCCAATTTTGCTGTTATTTCTAATGGCAGTTTCCTTGTAACACATTGGCACAGTTTAGAGGTAACCAAACACACATCTGTGCAGCAGAACGTTCGGAAAAAAGTAAGCAAAAGATAAAACCAATAAAAATCATAGGCCATTTTGTACTTAGGATGAGGTAATTGTGTGTTTTACTACCAAAATAGTTTCCAAAATATGTATTGCAACCTGCGCATCGTTGCTACCAGCTTTTAAATTAACTTAGAGCTCTTTATGATCCAGATGGAGCGTTACACTTTTTTCATATTCCGAAAGTTTTACAGAGGAAGCATCCTGTTCCTAAGTAGTGTGGTAATATATAGTGATAAGCCAAGTTTGCTAAGTTTACCGAGTTCAAATCTCTCTAAAAACGAATTGTAACGCACGTACTTGTTTCATACATATCTTACATTCTAGAGATAGTAAGGAAACATTTTCGGTTTATTTTTAATTCAACTAGTAGTAGTCACCAAAGGAAACATGATGCTTTGTAAAATTAAAGAATTTAAGTATTTAGGATAGGCGAGGAAGAAGATGATACCAGATGGCGTTTCCCGGGCTGGAATTTGTGCATTGGTTGCAATGATTTGAATAGTAACGGCTGATGTCAAACGCTCTGCCGGCCTAAACCTAATCCGAGAAGATGTTAGAAGTTTTTTTAGTAAACTTTTGTCGATATCGATTCCGTTGTGTAATAATTATGCGTTTGCTGATTTAAAGTATAATCTAGATTCGTACAATAATTACCATCCATTAGTTCAATAAGTTGTGCATCCACTTTTGACAGTATTAACAATTTTATACCGCCTCGTCTTCTATACTTCAACGACAAGATTCTCAACCGAGTGCTCATTAGGTAACGAAATCTAGATGTATTGTCATGAAGACGTCTGAATCGCAAAGCCAGACGCTCAACAACACAGCCTCTGCTTAAATTTATCACAAACTAATGCGCAAATAAAAGCTGTCTTGATTTGTCGCTACTGTGAATCTAATTAAAATTATGAGTAGATTCCTTTTAATTATTGCTTTGCATAAACTTCGACCTTAGCAGGATCTAGTTTACCTGCAACTGTGAACAACAGAACTTGAACTGAGAACCTTGTTTTGACAGCGATAGAAAAAGTCAACGTAAAAGGCTTCTTTTTACAGGTAACAAATATTATAGAAAAAAGAAAAGACAATCAAATTGTAAAACATGCATTACAAGCAGAAACTTACATACGTAATTAGATGGTCCTGGATTAGATAAAAATTGTCTACGTGGCCTGTACCAGCCCTACCGATTAAAGACAACATAATCAAGTTTAAATAGTATTTTTATACTATATACATTGTTTGTAGATACAATATGTGAATTTCATAAATCGCATTACTTGTAATTAAGTGCAAAGTATCACGTGTCCCCTTGCGTTCGTTACGGAACCATTTCGGAGGTTTGTCGAGTATAGCAAACTTCAACAGTTTCGTCAGCCTTTCGTTGCTTGCTTTACAATATTGCCCAAGAGAAGATCGTTGTGTGTGGAAGAGATGTGGCAGTTGTTCCGAAATTACTTCAGTGGTCGGCTTATTTACGAATATTTTGAGCTTGACACTCTAAAATGACGTGTTTCACACCAACAATCCACTGCGAGACCTAAAATAGAACGTATATCATTAGGCAGTTGCAAGTGGGTCCAAAGACTATTTTTTTTTCGTACGATTTACGGGAAACAAACATATTTACGATATGTGGACTGAAATATGGTCAGATCCAAGCTTGGCCACTCACTTCTTGTTTTTTTTTGCAAGTAAAATGGAAAAGTAAAAACATACGCGTATACAAACATGGGTGATACTTATTCGTAAGAAATAAATTAAAAATCCTGTACAATTAGTATAACCAAAATGGCTACAAACGACGTCGGTTGTTAAACATGTACATACAAACGTGTTAAAAAATACGATGTACCTCACAAGATGAGTCACGGATAAGTGAGACTTGAAGTCGGGCGGCTTCGTTGAAATCACATTCAGAAATACCTGAGGAAACAGAATTAATTTGAATAGTATTTAAAATTTTATAACATGTACATTACATAGATAATGTTTAGCAGCAATGTTAATAAGTTTTTACTTGTCAACATCTTAAAACCTAAAATGATATGTTATCTTGTCGCGTTTTTTCACCCCTTTGAAGCCATCTACCTGCTGACGCGGGAGTGAGGAACATCTACAACGTCCGCTCTCGATGTGTTTTTGTCTCCATTTTTATTTATTTAGCCTAGTTTATAAAAAAATTGCATTGAAAAATGCTAGTCTTACACAAGCACTCAAACTGACGAAAATAGCAAAATATCATGGGAACGTACGCCACCCCATCAAATTTACCTCGCGCTAGAAGGTACATCCTCTTCCGGGTAGTGTCGGATAACTTTCCCTGCATCCATTGGCTACGCATCACGTCCAGACGTCGTTTGATGTCTTCTAATTTCCGTTCACTAACATTTGGCTGTATTTGCTTAAGCATTTCTGTAAGATTACAGAATGTCAAACATTAGGTGGCTCGGTACAATCGGTAAGGTTCAACGTCAGCATAAAATGAAGTTTCAAATAAAACCTAAGACTGCTGTTGGCATATATTTGACTTGCGTTTCCACAGGTTATCGTTAATGCCTTGAGATCTACTTAAGGACCATCGTTTGAGTACGATCACTAGTCGCGTATGAAATCGCGATGTGTTACTTAAACCCCTTAAGGCTTTTATGGCTGAAAACAGAGTTTGGTGGAAAAATTTGCTCCAAACTGAATACCACTATCTATTCAACAATATATTCCTTTATTTTTCCACGAACAGAATCAACGAATATGATTATAGACTTACTGCTGATATTTGTATCTATTTGAGACAACATCTCGGTTGAATCGATATTTGGCACTTTGCTAATGTCGATTTTTCCATCAATTTGACTGGGCGGACTTTGACATGGAATTGTTGCGCTAGGTCTGTAAAAGTCCGGCGGAGTAAATACTTACAAGACAAACAAAACGTTAGATCACGTGATATCAATACAAAGAGGAGCACAAACTTGCTGCATGGGCACTGTCACACATGTTGACTTCGTATAAACTATTGTACAATAGAGACCTATTTAATGAAATATGCAACTTATAGTCAGTACTCGAATATTATTCTTTCTAATAATAGAAACTATGGATATGCTTTACTACCAGCCTAATCGCATATTTGTTCTGTAAGCTAACACTTAATGATGTTAGAATTACTATACTCTTATTTATTATTATATTAACAAATTACATACAAAACATGATATGCGCCATAACAACATGAGTCAAACCCAGTACAAAAACAAATTAATATTACTCATAGTAGCATCTTTCAATTATTGCATTATCGCACCATTAATACTTGATGACGGAAGTGAACCATTTTGATCAGGAGGGAATCCGGGCAACGGGATTGGTTCGGTTACCCCTGTCGATCGACTAGGAGACGTCGAAGGAGGCTTTGGGGTCATGCCAGGTGGAAGGTAAGGTACGCGTTTGTTCAGCTGGGTTCGGGGCCGACTTGAAGCCCCGGCGCTATTAGTTGCATACCCGAACTGAGGAGGATCATTCCATGCCCGCTCATGGTTACCTGTGATAGGAATGGAATAAGTGTTTTTAGGGAAAAGCTGCACACTGTCGTTTGATTTCGTTGCCATTTTCTCGGAAACCAAAAGTAAACCTTCGAAAGCATACGTAGTGCCCTCTCCGGTATAGATACTTTTTCCTTTTAAACCAGATTAATCAATAATCTGCGTCATTTGTTATGATAAAGGTGATTTTGAGTTGGATCAATAGTTCGCTGCTGCACTAATAACTAGAATCTAATCGTCAATGGCAGCCTAATATTGCATAACCAGCATGAACCAATTATATCTGCGTAGTAGTTACAGGCTCATTCAGTTCAGATGCACATATCAAACAAGAGACTGCACCATAGATAATCCATGCCGCTTACAGATACAACAGAATCATAGCCACATCTCATACTCTTATTATCACTGCGTTTCTGTTAATGATATAAATAAACAGTATATCACTTGGATAGAATTAGTTCGTTATGTCGTGCTTATAGTTCCGCTATTTCCAGTTATAGGCGAATCAGAAAGATTTTCATTAATTACATAGTGATAAGATGGATTTTGAATATGTAACAGGCCCATCTCTGTCGACAACATAGAGTTAGTATTGATAAAAAAAGCGCTCCAGAATTTATTAGCTATCTCGATTTCTTTTCGAACTTCCTTCGTTTCTGGAACGATGAACAGCGTTGAACAAAAGACATCATATTCTACTACCAGGACTCGAACTATTACCGTTTGTTGCACCATTTATATATATATATATATATATATGTAAACGTTCGACTTCCCTTCATAAGAATAAAAGATATAACATTTGGAAGTATATACGAAATTTGCGAGAGTAAAGCAATGCTCTATACCACTAACTTATATATGGAACCTAGCAGGAGTTTAGGAATAAATGCATGGTAAAAACGTATGTAACAGAACAAATAATATCTAATTACTACAAGTTAACTATAAGTGATAAAATTCTAATCTATCTAATGTAACAGTTACTTAAACAAAAGGGTTTTTTAGTTCAGCATCTTATTCTTCTACACTGAGATATTTTCTGGCAGCAAATACTACAGAGCACTGTTTCGAGAGCGAAGGTAACTTACAAAAGAGATTTGACGACATAATGACCTTGATGTTTAAAGTAGGTGAGGGCTGACCGCGCAGTCGATATATTTTAAACGGTTATTATTATATAGAGAAAATTAACTTTAAATATCGCCGTAAGAATAGATACCGTAATAATACCAATAAAATTTTACAACAATATTTTTAATAACTAATTCGTAACTAAAGTTTATTATACGTTTCTCTGTTCCGTTAAAATCTTTAAGCGAATTAGTGACATACTGAAATCCAGTCATTTGGAGTTAAACACAGCGCCTCATCTGTTAGATCTGTTTGACCCCAATAGAACCATTATAAGCATCCACCTTGCTGGAACAATAAATGTATAAACAAATATGACAAAATGACTTACAGAACATGCACTTATTCAAAAAATTATCCATTGTCCAACATCTAACATATAGTCCGTAGATAATTTTTCAGTCATATTTCGAAACGTTCCTGCTCAAACAATGATCCAGCCTTGTAATGCTTTATGCTCACCCAATATATTCAAGATGATACAGTAACATTACGATACAGAATACACAAACGTAGCAAAGTGCGCGCCAATGCAGGGACAGCCGAACATGATTCATGATGATAAATGTACTACAAATTAATCTTGATTTACGCATTAAACAAGATCAATGATAAGCAGTCGAAAATAGGTAGCGAAAACCCCATGCAAAAAGAAATAGTTCAGCTGAAAACAAGCGTCGTATACAAACCCTCTCGAACGACTGACATGATAACTGAAGCACCTTTCTGTTCACAAAATGACTTTGACGCAAATATACAGCATGAATAGAACTGCAGTTTATTTAATATTAGAAACGGCCGAAAGCAGAATCGTTTACCAATCGATAGAGGCAACCCTCCTTTAGAAACAACCGATAATATAGCACTGCTTGCCGTGCGCAGCCTGAGCAGAAACATCTGACGACTCACCGTAAATCCGCCAGTATTTGTTTATTTTTCTACAGACGTCCTCTCCCTCAACACCTTCCCTAGAATCGATCCCTAGGCCTTGTAGCAGACGAAATAAGGACAAGATTTAAAACTGTGCGACCACGCAACCATAAAGTGGCAGTTTTTTGTATACAGCAACGAATTTAATGCTTTTCTTCCACCGGCAGTTGGACTTGGTTGGTCCAAATGGTTGCCAGCTTTGCAGTGTCTAGTCTTCAGTTTTGCAACCAAAAACGTTAATCTTCCATTTGTAGTACTAAAGAATAATCATAATTCATTATTACTGCTGCCTCAAACGATAAAGTTTGTGCCTATTGAGTTGGGACAGCAGACTGCTGCCACTGCATAACTATGGGGTACATTCATTTAAGTTATTCAAAGTTGTTCAATAATATAGCTATGAATTAAAAAAAAAAAAGAAATTGGAAGCGAAGTTGCACCATGCCACCTGCCAATGTTCGGTAAATTGTATCTATAAAAGTTGATTAAAATACATCGTACTAGATACTAACTTAGTAGAAATAAGTCGCTAGCTCTAATGGAAAATCAAGACGCTCAAACAACTTGCTTGAGTTAATTTCGAATAATGACAGACCGTCAGCTATCATATCTAATGAATGATCAAATGATAATATCTATAGAGTATAAGTGAGAGCTTCTGCTGTCATGAAAGGTATTGTGCCATTAGTAAGCATTTTAAGATCGACACTCGCACGGATCTATTTGCTTAACATGACGCGCTTTAATGCTATCGAGCGTTATTCCACCCATCTCACGCCCGCGTCTCACAGAGTTCATCTTCCTTCTTTCCCAAGCTGCCCTCATTCTCTCTATCCTATCAAATCCATTCTATTATCACCTGTATTCCCGACATTTTCGGATATAAAAAAGGATCGGTAGCTTAACACGGTCAGCTGACTACCGTTCGAGCCACTATCCCTAGACGAAATCCCTAGATGCGATGGGTGACGGCGAGCGGTCAATTCTACTCCTGTCTCTCGTTTCTGTGTGAGCACTGGGCTTCGCCGAGGAACCCTTGGCCGCTGTTTATTACCTGCACAGAGTGGCCGATCAGCGGAGGCGAGTCGAACGAACGTTGACAGAGTAGCGGCGGAAAGCGAGTGTCCGGCGGGTTCTACGAGCAGATTCCGTCAGCAACTGCACTGTTGTACTCTTGCCGATCGATGATTGGCGCCCTCGCTTTTGCTGTATGCAGCGGGTGGCTCGTCTATCCGAGCTTTTGGCCGTTCCATTCGGCGTCTGTCAATGCGTTGGTCTTTAGCCAACAGTAGCAGCTCTGGGCTAGCGACTGAGCGGCGGAACGGCAAGACGACGGTAGCCGCAGAGTGACGGGGTCGAGCGGCGGTCAGCTCTCGCCAAGAGGCCAAACGTAGTCAAAAACAGAACACCAGGAGCAAGATAGGGCAGGCGAGATCACTAGATCAGCCACCAGTGAGACAATAACGGCAGTGGCAGCAGTTTCAGGTGACGCTAGCGGCAATATAAGTAGTCGCAAAGGCCCTCAAAAGAGCGCCCAGTAGTCATAACAGAAACAACGGATCGGAAGAGGAGTCATTCAAGAAACAACAAGCAAGTTTACGACGACGACGCCGACAACGACAACAATTTTAGTCCACGCGATTATCATTAGAGCCGAATTATCTGACCTAGCCGATTCGCATTTGCTGATTCCTGTGCACTTGTTGTCTAGCTACGCTCCAGTGGAGATCTGGGTTACTAGTAACGAAGAAAAAAGCAAACGTATTTCCGTGGTCAGTTCTGTATGTTGGTATCGTTTCATTTCTCGTATTCGAAGAAGGCGGGGAACGAAAATGGAAATCAGTGGTAGACGAGCTGGTGAAGAATAATAGAAGGGCGTCTGACTTTGTTTCTAGGGTAAAACAAAGTAAAAGGTCTTGTATGTCCATCGTAACAATTAGTTCTGGATGATGCGTGAACCCTCTCCGTATGATTCGAGTTTGGCCACCGAAATTCGAGAGAGATGTTTGGATGCGTTGGTTAACCTGAAACGGCAGAACAGGCACTATCAGTACATAGGACACCAACTGCCCCAGTTTTTACTGATTAACTCTGATTATCAGTGATGATCAGGATTAACTCTGATATAAGTGTCACCCAAACAAAAGTAGTAAAAGTAGTTATAGTTTTTGCGACGGAAAAACATATTGTCGGTTATTTCAATTTGTGGCAATAAAAGTGGTCTTGATGTCTAGTTGTGCCTGGTTAATCGGCTTCATCTATACATTTATCTGCCTACGAGGATGCTCGCCGGATCTCTGAGTAGCAGTGGATCTCTATACATTTATGTATGATAATAAGTGAAAAAAGTAAACACCTCCATTGCCCTTTTCTAAGGTGCTTTGAGAAGGAAGTGCTGGTGTTAGAATTGTGTTCGGCAGGCAGGATTTCGAGGTGAAGCTGAAGTCGTGCTACCACAAAGTTACACGTCCCTCACCTGTGACTATCTGAAAGAGTACCGCTGCCGGTGGTTGCCCACCTCAAACCCGTAGCACGCATTGCTGACACGCATCATCATCAATATGAGGAAATTAGGAGCAAAGTGTGCTGCTCTTCGGCTTACGTTGTTAGCATCGTGCCTCGGAGGATTCGTATGTCAGGAGAGCGCTCGGGAGCCAATGGAGTTGCAGATTACTAATGAGACTTGTAAGTATTGACGCTCTTCCCATAGATGAAAACTATAGGCGTTTGCGAGACAGAGACGTTGAGTGAGAATTTAAACAAATACGCTCTCAATTTGAGGTAGATTTTGTCCAATGCTCTGTTCTACAGATTGCGAGCTCGTACATTTCTAAGAAGTGCAGTTTGGGCTTGTACACCTCTAAGAAGTGCAGTTTGGAAGATCTTTGTAGTTTTTTTTCATTTCGCACGTAGATGCGTACGACTGAGCTGTAATTGTTATTTCGTTGCAAAAAATCCGAATTACATACAATAGAATCTACCGCGTTTCAACAAAGCATTCTTTGGATGCGAGACCTATGGTCGCTTTTGCTGAGCTTATTCATTTTGTTACATGTTAATTTCCTATATCATATTATTATTATTATTATTATTATTATCCCTTTGTTCGTCTTATAACATGCTGATTTACATCTCTTCTATGAATAGCTCTCCGGCAATGTTGGCAGAGTGAGCCGTTTGCGTACATTAATGCCATTCTTACTTTAGCTAAAGGATGGAGCATGCTTATAGTTCAACCTCCTAGCGTTACTATGCGACGCAAGCCAACGTGTTCCAAATTGGGTTTCCATTTTAGAATGGTCACACCATGCGAGTGATTTCTATTGCTTCTCATTTGGTCTGTTTCCTTTTTACTATGGCCGTGCATTGTGCTTGTGTGATCCTTTTAAGGTCTATTGATTCTGTTAGACTGATAGTCAAGCTTCTGTGTCTCCTGCAATATTTCGTGGAATGGCAAACTTTATACTCCTTTTTCTGTAAGGGTGTCGTCCCCCTGCTGACAATCAGAAGCGGCAGTTGATTGTTAGCTAGCTAGTCGCCGATGAACGAGCAAGCTGATCTGAGTCGAAGTGACATTAGCCTCTGGGGACTGGGTGATTTTTCCTCATTGTTGATTTCCTTAACACTACTGCATTCATTGCTGTCGACTGCTTCGGCCGAAGTGGTAAGATGTCAATGGTGTGGAAGGTAAGAGGCAGCCATATCGGCACATCGCGGCAAGCATAGAGTAGCGACACGTCGTACATTTACCAGCCAATGCTGCCGAATGCCATGGCCAGCTGCGAACATTGTCTACGGCCAAACTGCTACTACTACTTACCTGGCTTACGTACAGCGTTCGGCTCGCGACGTTGCGTCGGCTGTAAACTGTAGTCAAATGCTGTTTTGAAAGTAACATTGCAACATACAGCGACTTTAGAGTAGGGACCCCTCATCAAATAAACATCTTATAGACGACAGAACAGACAACTTTCGCCCAACGACTGATGACTTTGACCAATCGAAACTTCGTAATGGTACTCGTGCCAGTAGGTAATTTTGTTTACTTCTACTTAGAATCAAGACTTTTCAAATGATGCAAAGAGTGTACAGCGGACAACGCTTTAGATCAAGCCTCAATGCACCTAAAACAGTAGAAAACCTGAGATATATATACTCAGAGGTGTTAGACTAAAGTGAAACTTATATAGAGCTTCATCGATTAGTGAAATTTATGTAGAGCTTCCTTGATCTGAGAATCAATCCAGTGTTCCATCTAATGTTAAATACTGTTATGAACGTATGGGGTAGATAGTATAATGGAATGTCATGTGCACTTTTTTATTATTATTACATTAGCTATGACATTGAATGAGGGAGACGTATACTTCTTAGCAAATACTTTTTATTGTAGCTATACGTTCGAAAATCGTACGGTTCATGATTCCGCCGAATGGGACCGAATCACATGAACGCCACGACCACTCGAACTCTTAACCTGGAAAAAAAACACTGGTCGTAGAAAAGGCGTCCCTGTCGTTCGGAAGTCAAGTGGCCCCTCGTGGTTTCGCAGCGGGTTCATGCGGTTCACTGCTCCCGGAATGGCTAAGGCCATGTATTTACTCTGGCGCAAAACTGTTTTAAGCATTAATATTGAATAATGAGTTATCGTATAATGTCCAAAGATGGGAAGTGTACACATTAGCAAATCTACAGCGACGGTATATCAGTACACGATGCTCGTGTGGCATATGGTATTAATCAAAGCATGGAGGGGTCTGGAATAATGTGGGATTCAATAGAGCACAGCGGCGCTGATATTAGCACACATTGTTTTCAGTCGTTTTCGGGATGCATGAATATACGGTACTTATAGATAATTGTTCATCTAGATCTATAAAATCAATAGCATTACATTCCGTACAGAGTGTTGTTATACTTACTGAGCTACGCACAGTGCCCGGATTTTTCTAAATTTATGGCCTGATCACGGCTACAACATTTGAGAAGATGTCGAAGAGACAGTCCTTCATGACGATGGACAAGGATTAAGGATGCCTTTGTCTCATCTCTTCAACCAATGATACTAATATAGGGTTCATGACTGTATGATTGCTCTTCTGAGGTAACCGTATCTGGGTGATAAATTTCTGACACCATAACATTTTTTTAACTACTCGCCTATGATCGAAGCAGCGTGCAGTCACATCATGAATTATTTTAGTGCTACAATGAATTGTATTTTCGCAATCAGTAGTAGCAACAGCAGTAAAAGTTAATTACTTCATTTGACTCGCGTTTAAAAGCTGCTGATACTTTCCCCTCATCGAGTCCGCAGATACGGCAAGAAAAAGTAAGAACTTAACTTTAGATAGAAAAAAAATAGGTTTTCTTATTTTGTGCAAAGAGCATGCTTATGAGTCGCATATGTTACAAATGTTACATGTGTTTAGGCCATTGTTCCTGAATGTTTTGCGTGGTTGTTTTGACAAACGAGCTACAAATTTTTGGTTACGATATGAACGTTAGAATTGGTTATATACGTAGTTTGTGAATACTATAATATCTTTTACTACGTTCACAGTGGGAACAAAGATGATATGTCGAATGCACGTTTGTATTCATGCAGCATCCAATTTCCGCGTATTGTATTGAAAACAAGCTCATCAATTGTTTCATAGCGTGATCTTTATTATCCAGTTTCTCTTAAATAATCATAACTTGACCCATATTTCTGCATGATAGTGCTGCTTCTTTCTGTAGGTTCAGCATCAGTTAGTCGGTGTCCAGCGTTAGCTAAGCTGTGCCGCTTTGACACGTTATCAGCTAGGTTTTGGCTGCCAATTCATCAAGGGCTTAAGGAAGAATAACAGGCTGCAATGAGAGTATGCTCACACGGATGTAACCGATTTATTCACATACGTTCTGATAAGAACGAACAGCAACATTTCATTATTGTGTGATTGGGTGTCATGCGTACTTAATCATAACTAATATGTCGCAAATGATTAAGTGCTTAGTGTTTCTTTTGCGATACGTTCAGCAACAAATTGTCCCGAGTGCTAAATTGTAGGGGGCAAATGCTGCTACATAAAGATTTTGGCTAAAGCATTAATTGTTACGTGATCCATACATATGCTACGTATTGTTGCTTTTGCCGTACATTTATTTGGTACAACCGAAGGAGAAATAAGTAAAAAAACGATATAATTTTATATCGAATTATCTCAAAAACGGCTACACTCATAAAACACCAATTAGAATCATGTGATCAATGAAGAGAAATTCTGTTGGTTGGGACAACTTTTACTGTTTGTAAAACACGAAGAACAACGAGAGAATAAAGCACTACCTATTCAAAGTAAAACAGTGCGTCAAATGGAGCTGTATCTGACAGTAGCGACGATTTAACGGGCCATTCAATGTTAACATTTTGATTTATCGAAATAATTGTTAGCCATGAAGGAGATATGTTTTCCAGCCAAGATGACCAATAGTTTGACTATGCAGAAGACTAGCTCCCACTCCATAAACCGGGTTATGGTTATACTCCACTTGCATCTGTTGAGTTCAACCGTAACTTCTCAAAATAAAAATATACTCCGCTTATGTTATCTACCAGACATTAACAAACCAATATTAGAATTTTATTCATGTAATCACTAATACAATTCCGCCGTTTAACTGGCTTTGAAAGTGGTTGGTTATAAAAGCGTCATTTTATTCTCATATTTGCGTTTTATAGTAGCAGAGCAAAATGCCACATTCCGCACGATGGTCCCATTATTTTACACGGATGATTGATTATATTAGCGATCCACTAAACGATGCGGCCATTTGCCGAAGGCTACCGCATCGATTATAACTTTGCATTTACGAGGCGTGTTGTATAAGTAGCCGAAATACATTCGTTTAACAACTAGGGCAACATATCTAAGTTACTCGCCTGTTGTGGAAAGCTGATAATCCGTTTTCAGATAACCAATTTCTGCCTGGCAGCCTAAAAATGTAATGATATTTGTATTCTTAATCCACGTCGACACCATATTTGTTTTTAAAAGCTGTAATCGTTGCCAACGTGATGGATTGATTAGAACAAAGGCCCCAATTTTCTCTTTTTAACAGTAAAAATTACTTTGAAGAAAACAGCCGTTGATTTTGTGTTGAAATAATGAGACACGAAAGCTTTACGACATAGCAACATAAAAGGGAATCTGATCTAAGCAGTTGGGAGCCAGTGGCAAAGGGGCGAAAAAATAGAGCAAACGACTATTAATGTTGGCACCGGCTTATCAGGGGTATTTATTCAAAATGCGTATCAAAGGTATTTATAGGAATTTGAAATTTCTTTAAGTTAATTTTCAGGTAAATTAATCTACTTTTATTGGTTATACCACTGAACTTAGTCCTCAATGCTCAGTTAGCATTACGAAGTTAGCATTGACCCCTACGAATCGTGGTACTAATAAAAAAGCGAGCAGTTACTTTTAAGCTAGTTTTTAATAACTTCGGGCAGCTGAGTGATAATTTAGCTCAAACGACTATGCCCAATCAGACAGAAGAATATAAATTTATTCTACAAATGAAGTGTTTATGAGAATGTATAAGCATTCCCATATTTTTCATTTTTTCCACTTGTTACCTATGGTTAAAGGAATCTTGCGCTTACTGGTCTTGTCTCGATAATTATATTTCTTTGACATAGC